CTACGCCACATGTGGGTTGGGTGGGGGTGGGGTGGGGATGTTAACGTCCATGTTAACTTGCGTCACATGCACAACTTGCGTCACGTCACTGGGTTGGGGTGGGGTGGGGATGTTAACGTCCATGTTAACTTGCGTCACATGCACAACTGACGTCACGTCACTGGGGTGGGGTGGGGATGTTAACGTCCATGTGAACTTGCGTCACATGCACAACTTGCGTCACGTTACTGGGTTGGGGTGGGGTGGGGATGTTAACGTCCATGTTAACTTGCGTCACATGCACAACTTGCGTCACGTCACTGGGTTGGGGTGGGGTGGGGATGTTAACGTCCATGTTAACTTGCGTCAGATGCACAACTTGCGTCACGTCACTGGGTTGGGGTGGGGTGGGGATGTTAACGTCCATGTGAACTTGCGTCACATGCACAACTTGCGTCACGTCACTGGGTTGGGGTGGGGTGGGGATGTTAACGTCCATGTTAACTTGCGTCACATGCACAACTTGCGTCACGTCACTGGGTTGGGGTGGGGTGGGGATGTTAACGTCCATGTGAACTTGCGTCACATGCACAACTTGCGTCACGTCACTGGGTTGGGGTGGGGTGGGGATGTTAACGTCCATGTTAACTTGCGTCACATGCACAACTTGCGTCACGTCACTGGGTTGGGGTGGGGTGGGGATGTTAACGTCCATGTTAACTTGCGTCACATGCACAACTTGCGTCACGTCACTGGGTGGGGGTGGGGTGGGGATGTTAAGTCCATGTTACGTGCGTCACATGCAACCAACTGCGTCACGCACTGGGTTGGGGTGGGTGTGGGCGATGTTAACGGCATGTTAACTTGAGTCAGAGCACAACTTGCGTGACGTCACGTCACTGGTTGGGTTGGGGTGGGGATGTTAACGTCCAGTTAAACTTGCGTCCAGATGCACAAACTTGCGTTCACGTCACTGGGTTGGGTTGGGTTGGGGTGGGGTTAACGTCCATGTTAACTTGCGTCAGATGCACAACTTGCGTCACGTCACTGGGTTGGGGTGGGGTGGGGATGTTAACGTCCATGTTAACTTGCGTCACATGCATAACTTGGGTCACGCTGAACAACTTGCAAGGGTGAGTTGAAAAATGAGTTATGCTGACTGACTGGTGGAACAGAGGTGACTGAATCTGGCCAACAGAAGAAAAAAAACAATAATTTTTCTCAGACGTGTTGAAAATCGATTAACGTTCCACACGAAACGCACTTTTGAGAGCAGGCCCCAGTGGAACTACGACTTGACGTTTTTATCACGATTTTACAAAACCTTGCAAATACCATGATTTTGTGAACGAAGCATCATGAAAAATCAATGAATTACCCCGGGTCGCTAACTGCGCCGTAGCCTTGTTTTTGGCATCCATCTGTTTCTGAGGTCCTTGGGCCGCCGCCACATCGTAAGGGTTTTCTGCAACAGGCGGCAGCATATTTTGCAAAGAGTGTTTTTTTTTTTGGGGGGGGTTGTTCGTTTGTTTGTGTGTGCGCGTGCGTTCGCATGTGTTTGTGTGTGCTGTAGCATTTTTGAAGGCGGTATCATCGTCGCGATGAAGCGGCGATTGCTTTGGCAGGCCTTTGGTGACAATGTGCATTGATATATTACAGATGTGCTTGTTTGTATCTAGCATTCACTTTCTAGTTAATCATGCCTTTATCTTTCTATCTATCTACCTATCTACCTATCTACCTATCTACCTATCTACCTATCTACCTATCTATCTATCTATCTATCTACGTATCTATATGTTCATGAATTTGTTTATCTCTCTATTTATCTGTCTATCTATCTACTTATCTGTATGTTCATGAACTTGTTTGTGTTGATTTGTCTTTATTCTTATATATATATACATGTTTAAAAATATCTATAAATTTGAATATGTATAGTAAAGACGGTTCTTCGCTTTTGGGAGGTGGCTTTCAAAAGAAAAGCCGTAAAGCCTCAAGTATGTCTGCAACTTAGGCTGTTTGTTGTTGTTTTCTGCTTTAGGATGCCGGGTTTGTGCAGATGTAACTTTGCTTTACATATTCAAGTTTCTGGCCACCAACCGTATGACATTTTTTCTATTGCCAGGAGACAGCCGATGTTTAATTTTCTTTGTCGCCAAGCGGGGTTCTCAGTTTTACCTGGGTGCGATGTTCGATTCTTTAATGCACATATGAAACGTTTTTGTTGTTCGTTTTTGCCTTTTTTCTGAGTGTTTGGCGGTTTAGCTTTGGCCACATTGTTTCTTTCTCGCGCTATGCCAGGTGCAGTTAGCGAGCAAAGAGATTGGGGCTGCGGCAGCGTCTTTGCCTCGGAGGAAAGGTTTGGAATTGGAAGCCAGTGGAGATTCCTTTTTTTAATAACTGAAAGGGTCCTAGTTTCGATCTGTTGCGTGTTGAATGTAGATGATTGTTCTGTTTTGCAATATTTGGGATCTTGCACGTAGATTCAAAAATCCACCACCAAAAAAAAGAAGACAAAGGTCGAGAATGCCTCCTAGCCAGGACATAATTCGGATCGCCCGCGACCTGCACTATGTAACCCAAGGTCTGAAAATAATGCTCTGGAACTTCAATTTTCTCACGCCCATCTTCACCAGGCTGAAAGCCGCTCATGACCTAAAGAGCGTTGTGAAGGATATGATTCCTCCTCTGTTGGCTTTCTTTGCTGAAGTTATGGGACAAGAGTGGAGCGCGCCGCGGATGGCAGCTGGCACGCGTGAGATATTTGAGAGGCTAGAGCGTGAGTGCAGAGACGCGGGCGTAAGCGCAGTGATCAGCCAATGGATAATGGGAGAGAGGCCTATGGCCCTGGAATTCGTGGAGTTTTTGACACAGAGGAATATTGTTGGAATTTTCCAAAAGGGGGAAAATAACTACCTACTGATATTCCGCAATGTCGAAGGCTCCCTTAAGCTGGCATATTATCTGACCCATATCATTGGCGAAAAACTGCGCACGATGGAAATCCCACAGCGCATCAGCTATGACAACAAAAAGCCTGCAATCTTACAGGGCAGAAGCAAAGCACAGGATGGCAACAAAGGACGAGGAAAAGGAAAAGGAAAGGCGCAGGAAGGCAACAAAGGAGGTAAAGGAAAACATCGCAGCCGTAGCCCCCGCCACCTGAGCCCGGTAGGCGCAGCCCCACCTGCTGATGCGCACCCTCGCCCCGAAGCAGCTGGGCCCCCCCCACCCCCAAGCTAGTGGCTATATCTAGGTAGAAAAGGAACACCACGCTACCTCTTTGAAATTTGCAAATGACGGTTCTCACCTGGTTCTGTTTAAATTGATTAGTTTTTCTAGAGGGCATCAAGGTCACTTAAGTTGTCACCTAAGTATTCCCGTTTGGTTCCCTTTTTATGTCAATGTCTTCAACCCTTTTTCAAAGAGGTAGCTGTAGCACAGCGAAGGGGGTGCCTCGGCCTGGGGGAACAGAAAACAACTCTGTTTCAACCTCTCTTCGGAATGATCCTTTTGAGATTGTGCATTGTGTTTAAACTTCAATCGCGCAGATTTTGATGGACAAAGCTGGCAAAAAAAAGATTCTGTTGACCCTTTGCAGCAGGAGATGCACTGCATTCAGCTGATCGGTCATTCGATTTCAGCAAACATGACTTGTTGGACTTGGCTAGGATCAGTAATCGAATGTAGCAATATGATGATGTGCATTCTTTTTTCTTTTTGCAACATGTTGTTTGTCAAAGAGCTTCATGAGCATACCTTTCAGGATTGGATTTGCAACATCAATGTGCACTGTGAAGGTACAAGAGAAATAACTGGACTTGCAAAACCTATAACTACAACAGAACGTAACATTACTTCAGGTTAACTTCCCCCAAAAAAGTGCAAAGCTCCTAAGTCCATCTTAAGTGAAGGCACATGTATGGAAGCTTACATTTTTGGAGTTTGGTTTGTTTGGAACTTACATTAAGCCTCAAGGTATTTTGCGATGCTGAGCAATATTGTGTGCTGCTTGCGTGTGTTGATTGTTTGCAGTGTGTTTCTTCAAGCGCTTTTAAAGGGTGTTGTTCGCTCTCTTCTTTGCTCCGCACTTCGCAGTGGCCTGAGCAGAGTGTTTTTGTTTTTGGTGCTTTTGGATGATGTTTTCGTTTCTCGAGCACTTGTCGATTGCCTCTGAAGTTCTAGCAGTCAAGTTTTACATTGCAATTTTTTGATGTGCGTTTATATCTATATATACATATATCATATCTATACATCTACATCTATATCTTTATCTATATCTATATCTATATATGTATATGTATATATCTATATCTATATATGTATATATTCATCTATACATATATATATATCTCTCTCTCTATCTATATATATATATATCTCTCTCTATCTATATATATATCTGTATATCTATATATCTATATATGTATATATCTGTCTCTCTCTTTCTCTCTATCTATCTATCTATCTAATCTAACCTAATCTAATCCAATCTAGTCTAATCTAAATCTAAGCTAAATCTAATCTAATCAGATCTAATCTAACCTAAATCTAATCTAATCTCATCTCATCTCATCTCATCTCGTCTCATCTCATCTCATCTCATCTCATCTCATCTCATCTCATCTCATCTCTCTCTCTCTATGTGTACTCTCTATATTATCTTTCCTTCCCATCATACTGTTGGGGCTCTGTCCTTTGCCTAACGGCTACTGCTGCCCACTTGGAAGTTAGAAGATCCACTTAATCCCACTTGGTCACTGAGGGCCAGCAGCTTGCTGGGGTTGAAGCGCGTTCATGTGCCCATGGTTGTGGTCGGCAAGAATTTAGGCAGCTTGGAAGCAGGCAAATACATTGACATTTAGCCACCCACTCTTTGGGGCAATCGTTTTGAGAAACCGCTGCACCTTCAGCACATTGTGCAATGGTTTGAACAGGACATTTGGACCTTGGTTCGTACTGTACCTGATCTCCGCTGCAATCTTTGGGGCGATCCCTGGCAGCGTGAAGATTTCTCCATGGCAAACTTAGGCCCCTTTTGGACAGCCTTGCTAGAAACCGTGATCTTGAAGGCTGGCCCGCTGATGGGAGAAGGTTGCAGCAGCTTGATGTAGCCAGCCGGTAGCCCCAATCTTTCGAGTCGAAACCTCAAAGGAGAAAAAATAGGTTTGGACAGGTTTGGGTCAAAACCTTGGCGCCGTTCAATGGACGTTCATTGATAGGGTTTGAATGATTTGATACATCCCCAAATGAGAAGAATATCTCAGGGGTTAGGTGCCCCAGAAGCTTCCCATTGTTGTGCGCAGGCACCCTTAAACCCACGGACACTTTTCTCGCTGCTTATTGGTGTGCTGGGCAGCACCCTCTATGCAATGGGAGATGCCAACTCAGAACCTTGGTCAGTGCAAGTGTGGTGGATGGCTTGGTGTTTTCATTTTTTGGGTTCTCTCTTCCCATTTTTTCAACAATTATTCAGAATCAGAATCCTCATGATCAAGAGCGTCCAAAGCTAAGAAACAGAACCAGTTTCAGCTATGTTTGGATACTTTTTCGACATCCTAGTGATTTATTGAAGGCCAGCAACAGACGACAGTGTTGCAGTTTACCCCGTGCGCCCAAAAATGCAAGACGAAGTGGCAACGCAAGTCTTTTGCTCCCGTTGAACCTAGGACTTAGAAGGCAACTTGGCCGACAGTGGGAGTGGTGGGGAAGAGTGAAACTTGGCAGTAGAAGTGACACATCCCATTGGGATCTGAAAGCTCCAGGTCTATTCTGGGTTGGCAGCAATGCTCTGCTGGTGGCTTTCACTTCCGTCTCTGAAAAGTATGTGGTGCGGAATGTGGATCAGGCTGCTAGGCAACGGAAATGTGTCAAGGCTTCGCGTCCTGTTCAGTCCTGAAAAAGCGGAAATTCCAATTCATCAGCATGTGAGATATGTGAGGCCCGTCATTGATGTGGCAAATCCAGTAACAAGTCATGCTCCACCTTGTGGCATGACAAAACAATATCCCAAGCAAAAGGGCTTATCCTTGGGTCTTTTCCAGTCCAAGCTAAGGCTGCCCTGGGTTTCAGCTTGTATCGAACCTTGCAAAGCAAGATGTCACCTGCACGGCTTTCAGCTGGACTTTCCAGGTTCGAATCATTGAACTGCGTGGGTTGGTGTGATGCCTTGCCGGTGATAAGGGCGCTGCTTCATTCTCTTCGTTTTAGCCAGTTGAAGCAGATCACCTTTCACACCACGCGCACATATCACACCGCGCGCACATAGAGCAAAATTCGTTGGTTAGGACGATGATCCCCAAAACCAATGTTGTTCAGGGGGAGCCACCAAGCAGAGGAGATACCGCATCAGTTGTTCGCAAATCTTCTTGGGGGATCTGTGGCTGAGGAAATGCTGTGGCCATTCCACTGCTATGGATACTGATGACAGTTGGCGACTGGGCTTCAGCAGATGACGGCCCTTTCCTGTTGGAGTTGTGGCATTTTTGGCCACACCAAGTCGATTTGTCTCACCGGGGCGACCTGGATGGGGTTGATGTTAGGCTCTGAGGGCCTGCCCCGAGGTATGGAAAACTTTGGTGGTGCCCTGGAAGCCTTCAGTAAGGCAAGTAGCTTTTGCTGGAGTGTCTCTTGGATTGATGGAGAGAGTGCTGGCAGCTCTGGTGGGTTGCTGGATTACTATCAAGGAGTTGTGGAAGATGAGCCTTGCGCACAGCTATCATTACACCTATATGTTCAAATGTGGAGCGTAAATTGGCATGGTCGCTCACTCAGGTGTTTCATTTTGACCCATCGTCAGACCATGAATCTCAGAAGTGTCAAGGGCTCATTTCCTATTCGCAGCTGTTAGCCTCCGAAATTGATGGTTGGTTTCAGCTTGAGAATCGACTTGCGAGCCATGCACGTTGGCAGCCGGAGAAATGCGGCCGCACTTCTTGAAACGCAACGCAGGTGAGGTGAATCTTCGGTGTGACCTGGTCCAAAATAGGGGAATCATCCCGGTTTCACAATGGCTGAAAGGGAAATGATGGATGGAAATCAGCCACGCAACCGGAGGGTCCAAACAAAGTGGATTGGATGATTTGTTTAATGACATTTGAAATGAGTGGCATTACAGTGGCATTAATTATCACCACAAAGGACGCCCACGGTTTGGCCCGCTTCCCATCCAAATCATTCTGAGGTTGGGAATGGTCTTGGAGGACAGCTCAAAGATTCCCGTGTCCCTGCCGCACCGTGGTGCTTCTCGGGTCTTTCGGCATCTTCCTGTGCTTATTTCTGGGTCAGCAATCATCTGGCCTCGAGGGCTTGTCTGACAGAACCGAGCAAGACTGGAGATTGATGGGGAAAGACGCTTGGATCTCTAAAATGTCTCAAACCTGTCCAAATTCAGGAACTTCGGATTCGTAATTGCTTGTTGGCCAGTTTGGGCTATTTTGTTGTTGAATGGGATGCGCATCCCATGTGAACACACTGGAGAGATGCTGGCGAACTCACAGGATCATCAGGATCTTCATCCAGGCACCCAAGAAACCTAGACTCAGATGATGTTTCTCAAGGACGGATAAAATTGGTTTGCTTCTTTTCATTCTGGCTCCTCCCACCTGGTTTTTATACAACTTGGATCCGTTTTTGAACTGTCATGGTTAATGATGAGAAACGCATCCCACCATCCATCTTGACCATCACTGATGATCTTGATAAGTCCTGCCCAGGATATCAACTTTCGCAATGGATCTTGGAAGTACATGTCTAAGACAAAGATTTTTCCCTTCCGAACAGGGTGTCCTGAGGGATGCTCGAAGCTGCGTGCCTTGGGCCGAAGTGAACACATGTTCACTGTTAACCCCTCTGATTTGGGTTGGTCTGAAAATTGGACACAAGAGGGCATACCCGGCATACCCCAGAATCTCAAGGTTTCTCATCATTTCCTGCCTTAAAATATGTTGGAATGACATAGAATGAATGTGCATAAATTTCTGTATCCTCCAAGTCTACCTCTATTTATGCGGGGCATTTCACCAAACCCAAATCCATTCTTCATTGCCTGAATCCCTATTTTGGTTCTAGTATCCATTTCGAATGCCTGGTGAACTCCCCTCCCGTTGCTGGAACATTGAGTTGTCAGGTGCAGCTGCAGCCTTGAAGCTGGAGGAGAGCGGTTGTTGACCGTTGGAGTTAAGGCTATGGAGAATCCATGTGTATAGCAACCACCAAAAAGATAGAACGGTAAAAATCCGATGAAAATAGTGATACGTTTGATACATTTACGATACATCACTTTTCTATTTTTCCGGGGCTGCTATAGTATGGAAATATCTTGCAAGTACCGATGAAATATGTATATCGATATACATGCCAATGTAGAGATAAGTCTAAGTATCGACTATCGACATAGATAGATATAAGCATATGAATACAACCATGACTTACAAGTACGCAGAGAACAGATATACCGTGATAGCTTGTAGTCAGTCCTTTGGCATGCCTGGCGGTGTTTGGTGCCACTTTCCCACCAGCTCAGCCACAACTGGACAGGACACGTACTTTCGGACAGGCACCCTGTGGAGTTTGTCTGGAAGACATTTGCAGAATGCCTCACAGATTGAGCAAAAGATCCGGGCAGAATCCGTGCCACGAGACTTCGGAACTTCTTTTGATACATGGCAGGTGTGGTGGATCCAGAGCATGACCTGTGGGTCAAGTCATTGGGTAACCCAACATTTGATGGGTTAGTACTTTTAATGACCTCTACCATCCAACATTTCCCGTGCTTTCATGATATTTCGCCTACAATCAATCCCAACCTAGCCAGTGGTCGCATTATCCGTAAACCATTATGGCAATCCCAAAAGGATCGAGCCACTTCGATCTACCATTGAAATTTAGAGATGGAACTTACTACTGTAAATTCTATTTCATTTTGGTGTCCATTAATGTTGCTATTACTATTAGAGTTAATGTATGAGATTATATATTCATTGTTATTTTTTGGCATCGCCATGTCATCATCATCAAACCATCACATCATCACATCATCGCATCATCGCATCATCGCATCATCGCATCATCATCATCATCATCATCATCATCATCAAAATCAGTATTTTTTAATCATTAGTTTCTATTTAATTCTTGCGTCTTACTATTGCCATACATCAGTATTGTCATTATATTGCGAACTACTATCACCATTTTCGTTGCTATTAATTACTATTAAGTATTAAGTATCATCAATTGCTATTAATTGCTCTGAAGTACAACTGACTACTACTAACTACAAATTACAATTAATTACTGTGATTTACCCTTTCTTACTATTGGTGACTCATATCACCAACGTTACTGATGACAATCATGATTACTGAACGTAATCTTACTGATAAATTACAACTGAACTCTACTGATACTAAGAACAGACAATCATAGTAAATGACTACCAGATGATGACTTATGGTGACGATCATATTACGTTACTGTCCAAAAAAGATCGCCATCCAAGGACCTGGTGGAATCCGAGATCATGCGCGAGGTACAGGAACTACCCTTTGCGCTGGAGTGGCTCGGTGACCAATTCCGCGAGGGCAAAATGGCTGGAAGTATGATGAACACCTGGTTGGTTGATCACTTTTTTTGATAGTTATTGATGTTTATACAATTGTTGATGAAAACGGAATTGGTATTGATTGATAATGGTTTGTGATGTTTGTCGATCTGTGTTGATCTTTGATACTTGTTTGTTGTGCCTTGTAGATTGCACTTTATTCTGCAGGCAAAACTAAACCAAGCGCCGCCACTACAGGAAAGTAGACAACCCCCTGAAGACAGGACTGCTCCAGAGGGGACCGATCCAACTTCCAAAGGGCCACGTGTTGTGGTCATATTTGGTCCACCGGGTTCAGCTAAGGCATATGATGTTTTACCACCAGCAAAAATCCATGCACCTTTCTTTGTCGTACGACTGCTGCTGGACAGAAGAGGAGGTTCAGAACTTTCAACTGGTCTTTCGAAGATGGTTGGGCCAAACGCGCTTCAATCTTCACTTGCACTTCACTCACTTGGAATGCTGGTTGGAAAGGCTGGCACACCAAACTTTGCAACGGCACTAAGTCATTACTGTAGGTTTCATGGCGAGAGTCAGCCTGCATTAGCCATGCGCTGTCAGCCCTGCTGGTTAATCACTGTGGTTGTGACCCGCTTAATAATGTGAAAGAAACCAATGAAGACAAAAGTAACCAAAGTTCTTTTGCTAACACATGTTTTATCGTTAGTGTTTACTGCACTCAAATATGTGTTTGTCTATTTACATACGCTCGCACATACTGTATATACACTGTATGTGTGTGTGTATATATATGTACATGCACATGTATATATTGCGTGTAACTTATTGATATAGATATAGATATAGATGTAGATATAGATACGGATAGATGCATATATGATAATATATGTATATATCGACTCACACATGCCTTCCACCTTGGAGGTTCAATTCTTTGACCATCATCGCAGTGGTGGATTCCGCCGCTCAGAGAGAGCTCCTGCGATGGAATCATCAGCTGAACGAACTGCTGCGGAGCCATGACATCCCAGTGCTGGTGCAAAGAGAAGATCAGATGCTCGAGAAGATCAGTGCTGGTAGGGTCAAACTGGGCAAAAATGAACGGTTGAAATTGGTTTGATGATGCTTGATGTATAGATTATGGTCAAAAGTCCAGTGGGCTTGGAGTTTTGCTCCAAGATTTTAAAAATACCTTTTATAAGGAGACTTTGGAGTGGAACTCTCTTCGATGATTTTTGACCAGTACACTGTATACTCTACATGGTGGTTCACCTCAGTTCGTAGGTGGGTTACAACCCCAGTTACAAGTCGGATAAGTAGGGTTTGTCCACTTACAACTGGGGTTCGAACCCACATACTACTTGGGTGAGCCACCAAGTATGTTAAATTAAAGCTCATTCTAGCCAATCTTGACAATCTTGATCTCAGAGTTCGTCAGGCTGCGTGTGTTGTCGATCCAGGATGCCCTTTCACATGACCGTGCTGGGCATATATCTTGGCAAAGAGTTCTCTCCGCTGCCCCGCGACCACATGGAACTCTTTGGAGAAGCGATCTGCGAAAAAGTCGCTGAAGCTGCTGGGATGAGATCTGTCGAAATACCCCGGTTTATAACGGCCTTATCTCAGGGTGTTTGATGGTGAAAAATCAGAATTCAATAGAATTCACCTATATGGGGATTGGCAATCTGGATGAAAATCCACCCTACAGACATCAAGAGACCAAGTACGATTTAGCAGATTACTAGCAGATTACTAGATGTATCATGATGATTCTTATCATCCCTTACCGAGGTCTCGCAGGCTCATGGCACCTTCGGTACCACTGCAACGGACCCGGTGGTGCTGAATTTTGTGCCTGAAGTTAGCAGCTGAGATTGAAGGTAGACCACATCGTGTTGACATATTATGTGTAGGGTCTGAAGTTGCCCTGAATTTCACTTACCATTCTGCATGTATATAATTTGTCTTTTTGACCAGTGCTCTGCATTTGGGGGCCCGTTTTGTGTTTTGTTGTGTGTTGTTTCTGCTGAGCCAAGCAGCCGAGTCGTACCAAAGCCGTTGGTACCTCCAAAATGGTGAGACCTGCATCCAAAGTTCATGACTGGCGGAAGCCTATCAGCAATGGAGGTGGTGGCTGGGCTGGTGGCTGGCTGGGGTGCGTTGGTGCTGCTGATCTACAAGGACACCCAGACATACCCAGATCTGCAGAAAACCAAACTTCGGCTGCGACATGGACGTCGAGGTGGAGGGGGAGAGGGGCTGAGCTGCTGCGAGGAAAAAGGGCGGACAAAAAATCGATCGTTGTTGCGATTTTGTGTGCCAGCTTGGGAATTTAAATAGTGCAAACTCAACACAGAGAATGGGTCCCTTTCTCCTCATTCCCTTGGGGCCATGGTTGCAACTGGCCCTGGGCTTCATAGCTGACATGATCCCGTACTGGAGGTTGTGATTATAGATTATATCATAATTATATCACTCTATTTTCAGTATCTATTTGCAGTATTGTTTTCCACCCCACCTGTGACAACATACTACGTGTCAATCAACTCTTATGCTTTGCAATGTGCTTCCAAACATCATTGTATAGCCAACCTCTCTCAGAATTGGTCACACGGAAAATTTGCAGGAACTCCATGCAAACGCCATGCATTTATGTTTATTTTTTACATGGATTTATTTTTTACATGGATTTTTGGTTGGATGGTCAAGCTTTCCTGGATTGTATGTTCGAGATTTTTCTGGAACATTTGCCCAGTGAGAAGATCATAACTCAGGTTTTTGCAGCATCGACTGTCTTCAGTGCAGCGGCTGGTCTCTTCATCTTTACGCTGCAAGGGCGGGTGAGCGCAACGAAGCACGTCAGCATGACATGGTGAGGTCTCCACCTATGTTTAAACCTGCATTTGATGGGAAAGGTTGATGAGTCCCTCCAGCTATATCATTCCTACGTTGGAGTTTGGTGACTTGAGCCGGATCATGCTAGGTCTATCTAGAGTCTATCTAAGTCTCTTAAACTATGTCAGACTATGAGCATCAACTAAATGTTCCAACTATTTTAAGTTTCATTGGGCATTTTGCAATCAAGATCTTCATCCACTCCGGGGATTCCCCAGCCTTTACACAAGGACCACCCAAATTGCGAGTTTGTGCTACAAGTTGGCCACAACCGTTCTGTCCCTTGTGGTCTTCCCCCAGGCGTGTGAATCGATGCAGCATCAACGAGCAATGAGGGTCTCACTTAAGTCAGAGTTGTGGCAACCATCGGCTTGGTGTGCCGATGTGTGCCAGTATATAGGCCATTATAGGCCATTATAGGCCACAAATATTTTACATATTGTGAGATTTTTTTGCTACTCGTACTGTCCTGGAGTTGCAATATGTTGCAATTACCATTGAATGATTTGAGGCCAGGAAGGATCTGGGCTGGATGGCGGTTTTGGGCTACAGCCTCTCTACCTTGAGTGTGGCCTTGTATGTGCTGCTTGGCTCAGTTCATGGTGTTTCTCTGCTGTTGGGACCTCGATAGCCAAGCGGAGGTTTCCCAAAATTGGGGGGTATCCCCAAAACCATGGGTTTCAGAAAATGGTGTAATTTTTGGATGAGTTGGGGTTACCTTCATTTTAGGAACCGCTAAGTCCGCTAAGTTTCTTGTTTTTCGGGTGCCTACTTGCAGAAGAGCCCAACAGATGAACACACACACACAAACGCGCTACTGTACATGCACTGGTCTTCCATTTGATATATCATATCTGATGGACATTGGCTTTTGGTCAATTTTGTTTTTGAATCTTTTTGTTCCCAGTTTTAGTGTCCCATTGAATTCCACGGATTCGGGAGCGTGCCACGTTGATTGTGATATGGAACCCATTGGAACCCCCTCCCCACCGTAGTCCCCACCTGAGGTTCCTCCCAGCCCTTCCAGCCAAGCGCGTGGCGACGAAGAATGCCGGTCAAAGTCCTCGGATTAAACCGTGAGAGGCGATGGCCACTGTAGGCCAGGCCATTGAATTTGGGGTGAGTTACTGATATTTACATTGAATTTACATTGAATTTTACTGATATTTACATTGATTTACTGTCTGCGGGAAAATCTGGGTGTTTCCAATTAGGGAAACACTGGCTGTTTCCGAACATCTGAAGGGAATTGAAATTTGCTGGAGGGGAATTGTGTTTGCAAATGTGACTGTCTCAACTAATTGAGTTGCAGAAAAAAGACCCGAAATCCATTATGTTGGAGTGTCCTTTGTGCGTGATTATGCTCATCCTGGACTATTGATAGCACAGATAATTGGAACACCCACCCCCTACCCAAGACCTGAACTTCGGGGATATTTCATCTACTCCAGTGATAATGATCTTGCGAAATCAATGTGGTGATGGGTCATGTTGGGTCAATATTTCGTGGGATTTTTGTTGGAGGATGAACATCTAATACATCTACAAGCAAGCAACACAAGAATGGTATCCCTAATGCAATGCTTTTCCCCACAGTTTCCAATGTTCGACATGGCGATTTCCACTCGATCTCCCCAAAATTTGCCGCCAAAACCAGGGCCCAGACTTCTGACCAACGCCAGGCGAGAGCTGCTTTGAGCCACCTCAGCCTGAAAGGTAGGCGAAGGGGGCAGAGATTCAGTTGTCGCACGGAAAAAGTCGAACTGAAATGGTCAGGAGATGTGCTGAGATCATGGAAGACCTGCAAATGTCCGATCAGTTTCCATGGAATTGAGAGGTTTTTTGTGCCTTCTGCAGCTGTTTTTGAAAGCTGGGAGCAACACGCGCTTTGCCCCGTCCTTTTCCTGTCCTCACCATGGCCCGTCTTGCAGCTGTGTGCGTCTTGGCGGCTGTCGCCTGCCTCCTGAACAGCATGGCCTTCGTGCCAGCTCCGGAGAGCCGAGCACGTGCCATGGACACAGGAGCCATGGCAGCGGCAGCTGGTGTCATGGCTGTTGGCGCACCACAGAATGCGGAAGCCTTCGTCTTCAAGGGTATCTTTGGCAGCCAACCCCGGGAATCATGTAGCTGAATGCGGGCGACCTGCAGTTTCTTCACGTGGTTTTTCCCCTAATCAGTTGCTGCTGATGTAGAACACCCCAGAATGCCGGTTTGATAAGCAAGGTGTTCACCTGTGGCCAAATACACGATCATTATTTTATTGATTAATTAGTTTAGGCAACCTATGAGATATTGAGGCAAAGCACAGGTATGTACTGTAGTAGACGCTGCATGATCAAACATCTGGTCCAAAGCTGGTTAGGATCCTCTACCTATGTAATCCGTGTGCCTTGGTCCCTCAACTGATCACTGCAAGCCACGAACCCTGCCAAGGCAAGGAGTACTTCGATGTTTTCTACGGTGCCTTGTCATTCTGTCTGGCAATGAGGGTTGGTATGAGATGCGCAATTGATTGAAACTCATGGGCCATTGCCATAGGCGGAACACTATCATGTGTCCCAGAATTGGATGTGGCGAGGCATTGAGCCACTGGCCTGGGCCTTCTGCGGCTTCGTCATCGTCTACTACGGCGCCGTGCTGAAGAACGCTGCCACCAAGCCACCCTTCGGCAATCATGGCCATAAATGGAGCTCTATAGGTTTACAGCTGGGATTCTTATTTTCCATGATTACCAGATTTATCACCCGAGAATCATCATAAATTATTCCAGCAACTGGGTTTATTTGGTATTTCTAGCACTACTGGAGCATCCAGGTTTTCTTGATGATGACGATGATGCTGATGACATTGTTTTGGCGGGCCTGTCGTGATCTTGGTTTGTTTGTGCGTGCAGGTACAACATCCCAGTCGACAAGACCAGGTCACCCAAGGTGGGCGGCTTCCAGGGCAAGGTGCCAAACTCAGTCGCAGCTGTTACTTTGAAGGCAATGGATCTTCCTAAAATCAGGGAAGGTGGTCACTTCAAGAGATTGGGGTGATGGTGCCGAGGAAATCGAGAACAGCGAGGACATGGAGAAGTTTTACAAGCCCAGCTGAGGAGCTCCCAGGGCTGGTGACAAGGGGCCATCACAAAAAATGCGGGCTTTAGTGTTTCTCAAGAGCATGGCTTCAAGTCAAAGGAATTGAATTCTGCTGTGATGTGGCATGCCGCAGGAGATCGAGAACCGCACAGACGGCGCAAGTGGCGTCCTGTGGGACCGATGGACTACAGCGGGGTTTTAAAACTGGTGCAAGTGAAGCTGCTAGGACGTTTGAAGGCCAGAACCTCTGGCGTTTTACGAAGGCATGGAAGTGGCATGGCATCCACCAGTTGGCTGGAGATAATTTCCTATAATTTCCAGTTCTTTTCCGTTTGCACAAGTGTGATGCTGTGCGACAGATCAAAGTGACTCAGTTTACTCCGATGTATTAGCGTTCTTCCCGCAGCTGTTTTTGAAAGCTGCAAGCTGCTTTGCGCTTTGCCCCGTCCTTTTCCTGTCCTCACCATGGCCCGTCTTGCAGCTGTGTGCGTTTTGGCGGCTGTCGCCTGCCTCCTGAACAGCATGGCCTTCGTGCCAGCTCCGGAAAGCCGAGCCCGTGCCATGGACACGGGAGCCATGGCAGCGGCAGCTGGTGTCATGGCTGTTGGCGCACCACAGAATGCGGAAGCCTTCGTCTTCAAGGGTAGCTTTGCTGCCTCCAGCAGAATTGAAACTGGCAATTCTGGCCAAATTGGTTTGAAGACCAAATCTTTCCAAATCTCCAAGGATAGTGGTCTATTGGAGGTTGCACGACCTCACCATTTTTGAGAATTCGAGGAGGAAATATCACAGTACAGATGTAAGGGGGATCAAAAATCCGGAAACAAGAGATCAGTGCAAATGCTTTCCACTTTGGTTGGCGAATAGAGACATGGACATCTTTCACTTCCATGCACATTCATGAAATCACAAACCAGATTTGGTTTTAGGCCCGAAGCTGCACGCCCCATCTCACCCTGGCATTCTTTTTTGCATAGCCTTGACTTGATGGTGCAGTGTGGAATAAGCAATCCGGAAATTTAATAAGACGACCACCATGAATATAATCACAAACTGCTTAAAGGCAGATTTGGTGCAGAAAAGCCAAGCCGTTGGTTATGCTTTCAGGCTTTTCTGTTATGATACATTTTAGATCATTGTAGCACTAAAGCAAGGCAAGACAATGCTTTCATGCCACAGTAGGAGTTCAGAAGTCAAGTTGCTCACGTGAACCCACTTTCTGTTTACTTGCACGAGGTTGGCCACTAGAATCCTGTCCATGATAGGCAACTGGATTACTGCGGTGTTTGGCTCATTGCCGACCCGGCTTGCCCTTTCCAGGCAAGGAGTACTTCGACGTCTTCTACGGTATCTGGGCTGCATCAGGATGGCGCTCAGATTTTACGTTGGCTCCTAGCTGCAAACACTGAGGCATTGAACCATTGGCATGGGCCTTCTGTGGCTTCGTCTGGGAACCCGGAGCCAGGAGAGAACGCGCGCAAGTCGTTGGGTGCAATGATTGCTTGATCTATGATGATCTATGATGATCTATGATCATATATCAGAATCCATGCCCATTTCCTTTCGCATTCCTTCCAGATGTGGAAGCAAAATGAAGCAAACATGCTTGGGACATTTACAGTAGTTAGCGATTCTGAGGTCATCGTCTACTATGGCGCTGTGCTGAAGAACGCCGCCACCAAGCCGCTCAGTGGCAGCAGCGACTTTTCCACTGGTTGGTTGGTGTGTGTGTTTTGTTTGCTCGGTTTGGTTATGTTAGATCGTTGGTAGTTAGTTTTTTTTTTGAGGGTTTTCGAGGGGGGAAGCAGTGGAGATGCAAGTCTTTGCGGATGATTCCGATCCGATGACATTTCCGCGTCCCGGCAGCAGGTACAACATCCCAGTCGACAAGAACAGGTCACCCAAGGTGGGCGGCTTCCAGGGCAAGGTGCCAAACTCAGTCGCAGCTGTTACTTTGAAGGCAATGGATCTTCCTGAAATCAGGGAAGGTTTGTCACTTCAAGAGATTGGGGTGATGGTGCCGAGGAAATCGAGAACAACGAGGACATGGAGAAGTTTTACAAGCCCAGCTGAGCTTCTCAGGCTTGGACATGGCTGGGAGATAAGTGGATGGTGTGTGGCGGCAAGTGTCAAAAATCCTTACCTCCTAGCCCCTCGCCCCCCTCCCCTTCCCTATCAGAAGACATAGGGAATGTTTTGTTCTTTTGATTGAGGAGTGTAGCGACTTCCGTGCGCTTGTCAATAGGAACATGCTTTGTTGCATTCCTGTCTTCATTTCTACTGCGTCCGATTGCTTTGATTATTCATTGCAACCACTGCAACCACCATGGCTATCGCGATTTTAAATATCATGAATCATGACTATTTCATTTTGGATTCTTCACTATGACTACCACAATTTTAGATTGTAACCCTACCATGCCAAGCTGCAAATGGCTGCAAATGGCTGCAGGTGCTGTGACCTGTGGCACAGACGGCAACAAAACGCTTTAAAATGAGCGATTTTGCAGCGACAGGTCATTAGGACTGGAGGCTCTCGATATGGTTCAATTGTTCTTCGATTCAACATATTCCTTCCAGCTTTAAACTGTGCATTGCGCAGTTTGCTGCCAATGTCCGTTTAGAAAAGAATATATGATATATCTGGCACTCTTGGCCATGGCATGACATTCTCCTAATCTGGAAGGCGAAAGCTCCAGCTTTGCAGCACTGCAGACATTTTTGATCAGCTGCTAGCAGCCACGCGCTTTGTCCCGCCCTTTTCCTGTCCTCACCATGGCCCGTCTTGCAGCTGTGTGCGTCTTGGCGGCTGTCGCCTGCCTCCTGAACAGCATGGCCTTCATGCCAGCTCCAGAAAGCCGAGCCCGCGCCATGGACACAGGAGCCGTGGCAGCGGCAGCTGGTGTCATTGCTGTTGGCGCACCACAGAATGCGGAAGCCTTCGTCTTCAAGGGTAACTTTGGCGACACAAAATATGTTTGCACGTTTTTGCACCATATCTAAAAAGATGATCGACTCATCATTTCGGCTGCTGTTCTCAGAGTGATCATTTTTTTCTTAGAAATAATTACCTGCACCTGTATCTGAATAGTATTGGCATAATGGAACATCGCCAACGACCATCCATGCCCACCCAATCACCATTGCTCTGATAGCTGCGGTGTTGAGCCTGTTGACCTAGTTCCTCCCGGGATTCCTTGGCGGCTCTGCTTGCGAGGCAAGGAGTACTTCGACGTCTTCTACGGTATCTGGGCTGCATCAGGATGGCGCTCAGATTTTACGTTGGCTCCTAGCTGCAAACACTGAGGCATTGAACCATTGGCATGGGCCTTCTGTGGCTTCGTCTGGGAACCCGGAGCCAGGAGAGAACGCGCGCAAGTCGTTGGGTGCAATGATTGCTTGATCTATGATGATCTATGATGATCTATGATCATATATCAGAATCCATGCCCATTTCCTTTCGCATTCCTTCCAGATGTGGAAGCAAACCTGCTTGGGACATTTAGTTGGCGATTCTGAGGTCATCGTCTACTATGGCGCTGTGCTAAAGAACGCCGCCACCAAGCCGCTCAGTGGCAGCAGCGACTTTCCACTTTGGTTGGTTGGTGTGTGTGTGTGTTTTGTTTGCTCGGTTTGGTTATGTTAGATCGTTGGTAGTTAGTTTTTTTTTCAGGGTTTTCGAGGGGGGAAGCAGTGGAGATGCAAGTCTTTGCGGATGATTCCGATCCGATGACATTTCCGCGTCCCGGCAGCAGGTACAACATCCCAGTCGACAAGAACAGGTCACCCAAGGTGGGCGGCTTCCAGGGCAAGGTGCCAAACTCAGTCGCAGCTGTTACTTTGAAGGCAATGGATCTTCCTGAAATCAGGGAAGGTTTGTCACTTCAAGAGATTGGGGTGATGGTGCCGAGGAAATCGAGAACAACGAGGACATGGAGAAGTTTTACAAGCCCAGCTGAGCTTCTCAGGCTTGGACATGGCTGGGAGATAAGTGGATGCACTTGTTTTCGTTGTTTTTCTTGGGAGAGCGTGTCTTTCGCATGCAGACCGAACTAGTTGGGTGCATGAGGTGTCCAAGTCACCTATCCCTTGGTGGTCTGCAACAGATCAGGAGATTGCAATCCGGACGAGCTCACAGGCCGCGTGTGGCGTGACCTGTGGCCGACATGGCGCAAGAAAAGAGGGGTTAGATGCTGCGAGCAGTGTGACGATGCTCAGAAGCCATGAACGATGTTTGAGGGGGGCATTGTGGGACAGAGACAAGAGTTTGTCAATTTCTGAATTTAGGATGCTTGAGCTATCTTTAGTTTGCCCCTGTGTCCCCTAGCTCCACACATTTCTGTTTGATTCAAGGACTTTCCGAAGCTGTTTTTGAAAGCTGCTAGCAGCACATAGCCACGCGCTTTGTCCCGCCCTTTTCCTGTCCTCACCATGGCCCGTCTTGCAGCTGTGTGCGTCTTGGCGGCTGTCGCCTGCCTCCTGAACAGCATGGCCTTCGTGCCAGCTCCAGAAAGCCGAGCCCGTGCCATGGACACAGGAGCCGTAGCAGCGGCAGCTGGTGTCATGGCTGTTGGCGCACCACAGAATGCGGAAGCCTTCGTCTTCAAGGGTAGCTTTGCCAGCAATTTAGGAGAAACTGACAAGCCATGAGCCTACCTCTCGCTCGATTTTTTGGACAATCCAACCCCCCCACACAGCCGAACCAAATTGTAATTACTGGGGAACTGAGAGCATGACATTTGTATCAGCCCGTGCTGGCAGGCAAGGAGTATTTCGATGTCTTCTACGGTGCCTTGGTAGAGTGAACTTGGGAGGGGTGGACTGTAGGGAGATGAACTAAACTGTGCTCACGCAAAGGGATCGCGGGTGGATACGGATGAGAAAGAGCGAATCCATTCGAGCTCCCGCACTCCTAACACAATTCGCGATACTTATACTATCTTATACTGATACTTGTTTGATGACGATCACCCAGTTTATAGTGACTTGTATGCTAGATCACATATGTAATTACAGCTGGATTTTTGCTAACAGAGTGTTGCAATGAGGAGCCAACAAGGCTTTGTAGAGCTGAGGAAGTTTGACCAATGAAGTTCGAGAGGGTTCGATTTCTTTGCGTTCATGACTGGTGCTCACAAGCATCGAGGGGAAACAGGGGATTGAACAAGGTTGGGATGATGCCTAGCCTGTTTGAGGTATTGAGCCATTGGCCTGGGCCTTCTGCGGATTCGTGGGGATGCTTAGGATCGAGTGGAACGCTTCCGTGACGGAATGTGACGGACCAACCTGCTCGAAATTGCCAAGGGAAAAGCTGCACGTGGCGACATGTTTGGAAGATGGTTTGCCAATTGTATGCGACAGTTTTGATCAGTTTTGAGCTTGATGCCTTGACGCATTTTTTTTGGGTATCCATGGGAGTTGTTTGGTGGTCTGGACTCTTAATGGTGCCACCGATTCTTTCTCCATCTCTGGGGCTCTATTCAAAGGGGTGCTAATCAGAGTCTTTTTGCTAAATTATCTTAATTTATCTTGTTTTATGGTATTTTAAAATTGATGGAATTGGCCCCCCCAAAAATAGTTTTTTTTTTCCTGTGAAAACCTATTTTTTCTGCGTTGTGAGGTGTGGGAGGAGGTCGTTGAGCAGAAGGGTGCCCTGCCCCCTTCTAAAAGTAGTATTGGAAGCAAAACATCGGCCCCCCCCCAAAATATGTTTTTTATTTTTTATTTTATTTGTTTTATTTATTTTTATCTATTTATATATATATATTTTTATTTTAGATTAATTAAAATATGACAAATATTTTCCATTTTGGGCTACCTCAATGCATTTTGTTGCTTGTTCGTAGCCAAATTGCCTCTGACCTTTGCAAAGTTGAATAGCATCCCTTTGAATAGGGCCAGGGGGCCTTTGAATGACCGATGCGGCTCAACGAGGTCATTGTCTACTACGGTGCGGTGTTGAAGAACGCTGCCACCAAGCACTCCATGGGAGTTTGGGCGGCCCTAGTGGGGTCAAAAACTTGGAAACCCAGAGCCTTTCCATGCCTTTCCTAGTTGATGGATGTTGGTGGTCTATCCATCCTGGGGGTAGGCCAGCTTCGTTTCACCATTATGGTGTAGGTCTTACTCCGGTTTGCACAACCTGAAAATCTCCAGGTACAACATCCCAGTCGACAAGAACAGGTCACCCAAGGTGGGTGGCTTCCAGGGCAAGGTGCCAAACTCAGTCGCAGCTGTTACTTTGAAGGCAATGGATCTTCCTGAAATCAGGGAAGGTTTGTCACTTCAAGAGATTGGGGTGATGGTGCCGAGGAAATCGAGAACAACGAGGACATGGAGAAGTTCTACAAGCCCAGCTAGAGCAGCTTAGGCCAAGCTGCCACAGAATGACGAATGGTTTTGCCAAACCATCAAGGGTATTTTTGTTCCTTTTTCTCAATGAATTTAACATAATTTAACCAACTAATCGATATACTTGTTTAATAATCAACTACATACCATTGAAATTGGAACAAATGGCAGTGATCCATTAAGACAGACCACCTATGCACCTAGTACAGCATGCACTTATCCAATTGGAAAAAGGAGGGTAGGAGGTCCGAGGCAGTAATGGCGACACTTTAGGATGAACGAACGGAGTACGAAAACACAAACAGACAAAACAAGCAAAAACATCAATTGGCTCTCGCACGGACCTTTTGAATGTAGTCGCAACGCGGGCCCACAGACAGTTGAGTGCCCACGGCCGCCAAAAATCAACTATTTAATTATATAATTTCTTGATTGATTAGGCTGTTCATTCAATTATATATATATACATATATATATATATTATAATGTCATAGCTTGCGGACACAAAGAGGGCAATGGCACCTCTATGAGTTTAGCAGTTTCAACAGAGATTTTTCACTAAAATCTGGTTCGTGGTTTTAAATATGTGTTTTTTTTCATCGTGCCCAGAATGATGATCGCTATTGACATCAAGATGACCCCTCGGAAAACTTCAGATATTTGGTGGGCCCCATGCTCTATACACTGCCAGGGGGGATTTGACCCTGCCTGAGATGGCGCCAAACGGAGCCGTCTTCCGTGGCCAATCGGGACAGAATCGCCTGTGAAACACCTGAGGGGATGGCGTGGGTGGAGGCATTCCTCATCACCCATGAATCAATTTTGTTTGGGGAAGGTATGACAAGTAAGAGGGAAGATGATCAGGAATTTCTTGAAGCAGGCGAAAGTGTTAAGAACCGCTCTTGATCAGGAGAGTGTGAGGCAGAGACTGAGACATTCAGTTGCATGCCAGGAATGGTAGTGACTTAGTGGGAAGTGTCTCCCCAAAAAATCGATTTAAAAGTGCAAAAGGAACCCAGAGATGATTTGGAGCTTCTTTTTTCCCAAACATCGATTTCAAATCATGATTTCCGACACTTTGCTGGTCAGACATCCAGACACAATGTGGCTCTAGCAGCTAGTCCGACTGCACAAGCCAGCCATGAAAGACATCCTACTTTGTAGTTAAGCAGAAGTGGGTGCACAATGTGTCCCCACTATTCCAACTCTAATGAGAAAGGTGCGTGCAAAAAGACCTTGGGCATGGGTCAAATTGGGTTTTACTAGTAAAAAATTGAAGGAAAATAGTAGTAGAACGCGGATGAGTCATGCTGGAAATGATAAGACCATTTATGGGTTAAGGGCTTCACATTTTTCCAGGTGCTGATTTCGAAGAAACACCCCCTTGCCCTTGCCCCATGAATGCTACTACCAATCGAAATCTAGAGAGCGAACACGCTGCCATGGCGTTCTGAGATCGCCGTGATTGGCGTGGGAGGCTGTGACTTCTGGCAGGATTTCAGGCTTGGAATATCAAAGGCGTGAAGAATAACGATTGTTACAAAACTCATTCTTCCCACACCTTCCCACAGATTTCATCAATATTTGATGATGGCAACCCGGGATTAGTGAACACCCAGCTTATGAATTAGGGGAACCAAAATCTAAATAGTGACATTACATTTCGAAGTACAGTACAATAGCAGTCTTTTTTCACCCCGAGCCCGCAATTGCGTGCGCGGCACAATCCGCTTGAGCGCCGGCCTGAACCCTGGGTCTATTCAGCCAAAAGATGCGAAGTGGAAACCACATCAAAATCAAATAAAATAATACATCCTCTATATTATATCCATGAGCATCCAGAAGATAGGTGTTTTGGTGCATCGTCGGTTGACATCGGTTGAGATTATTTACAAATTCATCATAATACTTATTTATCAATCCCTTCCCCAGTTTTTTTGGTACTGGATCAACTGATTTTGGGGCGTATGTGCGGCATGGGATGAATAGATAGTTCTGCAACAGTGTTCATCTATTCATTTTGTCAAGTCATCATGTTTCCACATTCTTCATCATTCATATGGTAAACCCATGTAAACCCAATCATAAATCATCCCACATCATCCCCAAAATCCCCATTTTTCTGGGAGGTAGAAACCATCCCCAGTCATGGTAGGTTTGCCGCGAAAGCGCTGCAGCTGGCCATGAGGTGCTATGGCATCTGCATCACGCCCAGGCGAGGCTGTTGAGGTGGGAAAAGGGTCCCAAGTTCTGAAACATTACGTAATTCAATGTGGTATACAGTATACGGTGTATATATATAATATGTATACTACATAGTTTTTGACAATATGCATATATATATATAGAGGGCTAACTGGAACTCACATAACATTTAAGGCATGGTTGATGGTTGACTTTGCCAAATTATAGTTATACAATGTTATACAGTGTTACATAATATTATTGCGTTCATGCATCCCCCAAGAACACCATGGCAACTTCCAAACATGGTTCGAACTTGTGTTTTTTTGAGCTCACGGGCCCGAGGATACAGGCCCAGGAAGTGCCGTTGCAACCCCAAGTGGGATGATACTGGAAAATTTGTAGGCACACACACATATTATATATATATGCGTTTGATTTTCTTTGGTTCCTGAACAAGGGTTTAGACCATACATCTATATGCAGTATAAAAAATACTTTCGGACCTTTTATAAATATATAAAGCGTACCATTTCTTGTATGTGTGTGCGGATGATCTGGATGCATATGCTCCGCTCATATCACTGGCGCCAGTCTGCAGGACCACTCCGCCAAGCCTCTGGTTGCCGTGGAGCTCAGGATGGGGCGAAGTTGGTGTGTTGGATGCGACCAGCAAATCTCAACTCACGATATCGAGGATTAACCATGATTAACCCCTGGTTCATTTTTACGGGGGTGCCAGTGTTAAAAGGATTTTATCACTAGTTGTTTGGGGATGTTTGGGGGGCTCCCCCTAATCATACACGCAAACAAAAGGTCTTTGATCTGGGGTTGACACTACTACCTGTAAAAGAGATCAATGGATGAGAATCACAGGGAATCTGCTCTTGCCAACACCAACATCGGGAGTCGCTTTTGATGTCATGGCAGTTGCAATTGCTGTACTGTAGCTGTGGCCGTGGCAGTGTTTGGAGGACTGGCGCCAAGCCCTGGTCTCTTGTCATCCTTTGGGTGCCACATCAGCCGTCTTTTACCATCAAATCCATGAAGTAGAATTGCATTTTGATCATGATTGATCAAGTAGCTTCAAGCGGCTTGACAAGACTGGAAGAGCAGCACTCATTGGAACTCCAGTGACTCCAGTGCTTCCGTGGGTACCTTCAGGGCGGTCCCAGGTGTCCGGTGGCTGAGGTGATTTGGAGGTTGGCTTCAGATGTCACAGAGGCCGTCATCGCCTGCAATCGCGGCGGCGCGTGGCTCAGCAGTTTGCAGCTGCTGCCGCGGCAGCTGGCCCTGCAGCACCGGCGCCCTGTGGTGGTGGTCAACGGCAGCCTCAATGCATGTACCTGGCTACTGGAGGGTTACTTGAGGGCTGTGATGTGGTGACTGTAGTGGCAGTACATTAGTAGTACCGTTTTGGAAAGGTAGCAAGGTGCGAAAAGGATGAACACGAAGGAAACACCGAGCAGGAACCAACTCTTGGAGCAATAGGTGCTTATCCTATGGAGCTACTGAAACCTAGTGGCCTAGTGGCCCTATCGCATCCTATCGCCACAAGGTGAGAAGTCTTCAGCTTGGCAAAATGTACTGGAAATCATTCTGGAGATGAGGTGCCTTGGAGTTTTGTATCGTGGTGCCTGCATCTGTTTGGGGACTCGGGTAGTTTTGGCCATGGCCAGCAGGATGCCTTGTGAGTAAGCTCACTGCATTCTTTAACCTCTACTGTCTTCCAAGTGTTTGCTGCTAGCATTTAAGAAATCATTATTGTCACTATCTTGCACTATTTTCAGTGATAACGATGTAGACGTTGTCGTGTTTATATGTATTTATAGCTTTATAGCATTCCTACCTCATTCGCCTACATCCTGATAGGATTCCTCTCAGCACCAAGGTACCAGGCCTTGGAGCCTGACGAAGTGCCTCTTGACTTTGCCACCAGGTGAGTTCACGTGTTAGATCCCCTTGAGGCACCAATCATATCAGCCACGTATGTAATGCCGGTATTTCTCTTTAACTTTAAGATACTTTAAGATACTTTGAGATTTATCAGGTGTATAGAAACATATGTATACCAATGGCAGTCTAGTAACAAGACAGGGGTAAGTTTCCAAAATTATGTACATCGATCATCATGCCAAACACGCATATTATAATGCATACACATGTATGTATAATATATATATATATCATACATATACATATACATATACATATACATATACATATACATATACATATGCATATGCATACACGCATCAAATCAATTCAACTCATCAAAGCCTCATATCCAAAATTATGGTCATCAAAGCATACACTTTGAACAGCTAATTAGTCTGCCAAGTTTTCCTCCTCCCAGCCGTTCGCCAAGGAGCCTCACCAGCTCTTGCCGTGCCGCCAGCTGGCAGCGTGCGGTTTTCGCTCTCGGCGTGGTTTCTGGCAATGCCCGGGGGCCTGAAAATGATGAAACTGGCCGTGTTTGATAATGGAACATACACCCCAAATTTGGCAATTTTCATAAAGGAAAATGATGATAAACAGTGCGTTGGGATAACTCATTTCGAGTTGACTCCAGATGATGGAGGGAGGGAGGGAGGGAGGGAGGGAGGGAGGGAGAGAGAGAGAGAGAGAGATAGAGAGATAGAGAGATAGAGAGAGAGAGAGAGGATGGAACGTTGAAATCATTGAGATACACTGTAAGTTGATGTAACTTGCTGCCGTTGTCTATATATAATCAGCGATGCAATTGTTTGATATGGATATGATGCAATTCTGTCATTGGCGGTCAGTGGTGGAACTCAGCACTTTTTAATGGCATGACTCACCAGGTCTGTAAACAAGACAGGCGAATACACAGATTTTCTGACACAGGAACTGAGTTGGAACCGGTGTTTCTACGCGGTCCCTTTGAGATTCCCAAAAAAGAAACCTACACAACCTGACTCCTAGGGTTGAAAATTCGCAGACACAGCCAAAACCCCACATCCAACTGAGCAACCGGAGACACCGTTGCGACCCACGTGTTTTTCCCCGTCCTACCGATAATAAACTACCCATGCCATTGGGGGTCTCTTAAACCTTGGGTATTGAACATGATCCTGGGATATGATTAGTACCATTCCCATCCATTGCTTGTTTTTGACACCTTTGCAGGGACCTGCTGCATGAGTGGTTATACACACGTTGGTTTCCCGCCATATTTTCCTTCAACCAACCCATTGACACCTCAAGTTTGATACATTTTTTGAGTTTTGACATCATGGTGGCCATCATCACTCCCAAAATTGGGTGATGGGCCGTAGGTACTGGTTTTCCAACGATCGTTTCCAATAGTTCAATAGATTTTCATAGATTTTTTTTGCAACAAAATCAATCCATTGAATGATGGGAGGTTATCCTTTGCAACGTGGTTTGCAGCGCCTTAGAGAAACAGCATCAGTGGAGCGGGGCCCTGGATGTGTACCCTGGGCTAAACTGCTGGGGAGACGATGGGACACGGATGGGTCAATTTCATCCACAATTTGTGGGGACTTGAAATTTGGAGATTGTTTGGACTCTTGATGCAGAAAAATCGCCCCAAAGATGGGAATGAAAGGAAAGGGGAAAGGGATGATCTGGAAGATTCTCAAAATCGTCAATTTACACCTTGAAGGACCTCAGATTCGTCGCCTCTTCACAATGGAGGAAGGTATTCTGTCAGATTAACGCTGTCCCAGCAATCTGGCTCTGCCTTGACTAGGTTGAGCATGATGCCGTTGGCCGAAGTTCAGGCAGATGCAGCTTGAATGAAGAATGTAGCCTTGGGGCATGGGCGTTCCAAAGATGCAAAGATGCAGCTGTCTGCTGTGCACTTTTTAAATGCAGAAAACTTAGACGTAGGCCATATCCATCCATATCCATCCATATCCATCCATATCCATGAAAAACTTGAAACCTTCCGGCATTCTTTAGGACCACACTTCCCATTGCACATCGTTGAGGTGATTAGCTTCAACTCATGTATCAGCGCATTGGAGAAAACGGCTCGTTGGAGTTTAGCCACCGTTCTGCTGGGACAGTTGCAAGGCACTGGGTGCGACCCCCGAGATTCATGTGCCCCCAGCTACTGCCGGCTGCAAATAGGACAGTTTCATGAGCTCTACATATGCCAATTTCTGCCCATCACAATGGGTTGTAGCTAGGAGTTAACTGGGGATACAGTCTTAGTGTACACTAGTGATGCTTGACCCATAGTTGGGAATATCTTTGGTAAATCCCTGAATTGAATATCAATGGATTGGTTCAAGGGAAAATCTACAGGAAACCATCGATTTTCCCATTAAATATGGGGTTTTCCTGTAAAATTTCCCTTAAGCCAATCCATTGAGAATAGAAACTCAAGATTTCAATCCCAGAACATGGACCATGGCAGGTGGCTCGCGACCGAGAGCCTCCGAGGTGAGCTACAACGCGTCGATGAGTGCCTGTAGCGTGCCTGATGAGTCACGGGTTGTAAGCTTGTGCAGCATTTCATATTGGGATTTATGATCATTTATGATGATTTGTGATGATTTATGGTGATTTACTGTAATGGGATAGAACCAACCAACAACATGATATATGGGTTTGTCTGACAAGGGTTAAACTTTAAACCCTTCACTGAAGGCAATTTTAATGGGGATAAGGGACAATGATGAAAAGTCCAGTGGCATTGGGTTTATAATGGGAGGAGGTTCTATAGCCATCCAAACATTCAACTTTTGCAGATGATCTAAGATTGGTATAGTATAAAGACTATAGACATTGGATGTCTTCTTCCCAGTGGTTGATTTATAAAGGGGATCAGTACTTTGGACAGATGATGGCTTTCCCCCTAATGTCAAGCATTGCTGCAACATGCTGCAACCAGTTGTTGAACGGCTTGAAGCTCTCATGAGGTGGCAGCTCTGCTCAATGGCAGTTTGCTTTGCATTTGCTATCGGAAATGCCGCCTAGCCGCAACCCAGGGAAAGCTGTCAATGATTCAATGCAAGAGCCCACAGGGTGGAATATAGCTGTCAATGGACTGGAACGTGGTTTCTGCAAATGTTTGTTGCGAGAATCCTTCGAGAGCTAGCGAGAGCTGACATGCGGAAAGCTTTAGTCCCGGTTTCCGTTTCCCAATGCTACCCTATTTGGAATTTCCGACCTTCAAAAATTGGTGGTTGAGTGCTCGACTCATTACCAAAAAAGATCTAGAAATATGGCGGTTGAATGGTGCCCCATTCGTCAGGAAGGCGGTGAAGATCCGACGGGGCATTGTGTCCTTCAATGCTGCGCTGTCCGCGTGCGGCAAGGCTTCAGAATGGCTGCTTGGCACAGCTGTGAGAAGCACTTCAGCACCTTTGCTCGGGAGAGAAAGGGTACCAACGGCTACTATTACAACATCATGTTATATTTTATGTTATTTTGTGTTTGCGAATTTCATTTGGGTCTTCTTGATAAGGGAAGGCAACATATTTTTGACCTGAGATTCATCCCCATCCCATTTTTGAGGCCACAGTAGGATTCAGTGGTACAACCCCGAGGTTTCAGCCCTTGCCATTGCAATTCCCAGGAGTCGGGCTTTGCTGCTGCTAAGCAGCTTATCGGAGCCTCTCAGCGAAGTGACAGTGAATTGGGCAGTCGGGCATGTGTGACACCCACTACCCACTGATCATAGACTCTGGCAGTAGCCACCCTAGCCATGATAGATAATTAATTAAGGTCAACACTTAAGAAACCAGAAGAATCGCACTTTGATGGCTGATCTTCATATGGGGTAGCATACTGCCAAATGAATGCAAATGGTTTGGGGTGCCTGGGATGCTTGGGATGCGCATGTTCTCCACTCACACAGTGCATGGCTGACGGGAGGTTGCAGCTGCAAGCGACAGTGGTCACTGCCACTGCAGCTGTCAGTGCCTGCGCTGAAGCGGCCGCGTGGCAGACAGCTCTGGCCATGGTGCAGGACTTCAGTGTGGCGCGGATGAGAATCTCCATGACTCTTAGCTGTGACATGATGAAGCCGTGGCCGAAGATGGGGCTGTTGGCTTTTAGAAGGCGCTCTAGTCTTCAATTTAAAAGAAGGATGGGGCAGAGTCATTCAAAAAAATCTGTTGGTTTCAGCTGCGCAAGCCCCAGAAAAGGACATTTTCTGCCATTTGGCAGCCGCACTCCCACCTGCCAAGGGCCACCTACAACGCACTTCTTTCAACCTTTGGACCCAATTGGTCAGAAGCCCTTCACACGTTGCTTGGGTACAGGTCGGTGCCAGTCACTATACACTGTCGATTGGATGAACGATATATGCCTTACAGGTCTTACAGGCCACTATGCGCAGATACAGTATGATACAGTCGCAAAACTCTGCATTCAGCAGGGAGAGATGCGCAGAAGTTGTCCGGTAATGAAATTGGCAATGTAACACCCCAATCTTTTGATGTGAAAATAATCCATTCGTGGATATAACTAGTTGAGTTTCCAATGCGAGGTTAAATTGCCAGAGGCTAAAGGTCAGCGAGGTCCGGACGTTTTCAACGCAGCGACCGCCATTGCTCAGGTTCTGCCAGCTTCATGCCGAAACTGCATTCAAGCCAGAGATCATCTCCGTGAATGCGGTCACCCGCACTTGATTCAGCGTGCGTTATTCGTTTTGACTTTTTGAGTGTTCTGGCCACCTGGTCCTGGTGGTTTCAAGCCTGTTTTGCTTCACAGCCTCGATGAACTTGGTTGGCAATGGCCATGTAATACATATCAATCATATATTGTTTTTTGAGGAGAATGGGTTTAAAGCACCATGAGCATTTACCCAACTAAGATTTGCTTTGCTTCAAGATCATTGGACATCATTAGACTCAAACCGACCCAAAACCTGGAGGTCGTTACGGCCTGTGCTCGTGGTGAAGTCTGGACGTGGGCCTTGCAGGGGCTAGAAAACCATGAGCCCAATGGGCTGCAGCTGAGCAGGGTGAGCTACAATGCCATGGGTTGCATGGATCTGTGGGGGGAACAGAGCTGCAACATGCTGCAACAATATTTCCGCAACACTGTCCCCAGCACCTTTGATTCCCTTCATATCCCATGATTGCTTTCTGTTGTCCGCTTGCAAGTTAGAGGCATGATTGATGGATTCATGTCTTGAGTCGTTTTTAAAATCCTTCCCGTCCTTCAGCGCCCCAATTTTTTGGAACTGTATACTGTATCCACAACATTTTTTTCCCGTCGGAAAACGATCCGCCAAACATTTTTTTTTCAAATCCCTAGCCTTCGTTGACATTTTGCATGTATTCGGCCATGTTAGATTCCAGCCCATTCATATCATATTTACATACCTATACATTTCATTACATTTCAGATTTCACCACAATGAGCCAATGTAGCGAGTAAATATACTATGGATGAGTTGGATGGCATAGGCGGTATAGGTATTGGGTGATAGCAATATCAAAATAATAGGAATACATGTACAGTATATATCTCCTTATCGTGACCAGCTGATATAATGGTTCCGATCCAAGGCTGTGGCCAGCTTCCATGGTGGCGGGCAGTTCATGTCCTGGTTTCTCGGTGGAAGCTGCGGTGATCGAACCTTTTTGAAGAGGAAATGGTATGATACAACTATTGCAGTAGTATCACATTAGAACCACCCACAACTTTGGGTTTGGGAGAAGAATTTCCTGTTGACAACGGAACCATTCTTGGGTTTCATATGGTTTCTTGCTAATTTCTTTTGAGCCCTTCCCAGCAATTTTCCCGCAAGGATGAGATGCAGCGCCGTTGGCTCCGTCTGGACCCTGCCACCTGGGGCTCTCTGTGCCTCGCGGTGCCCTGGGCACGTGCTGCGGAGGCCCTGGCACGACTGCCCGGGCTGCGGGCCGATATCGCTGCGCGCCAGGGAGTGGCTGGCAGCTGTGGGGAGACGCTGTTGTGGCAGAGGGCCCTGGAACTGGCGGAGGACCAGGTGACGATCTTCCAGAAAGCTGGCAGATGGTGCCTGGGATTATCGATGCGTCCACAAAACTGGGAGAGTTATTTGCAGGCTTTCAAGGTGCTTCAAATTCCATCATTTCATGATTTTGTGTTTGGTTGTGGAAAATTTGGTGCGGATGCGAATGGGGTCAACAAAGGATTGTTCTTGAAACGGGAATGGTGAAGCAATGTGAAACAGCAGAACGGTCTCTTCACAACAATGAGCTTTGTGATGTAGTCTGTGTTTGACATATTATGCCACATCAATGTATGCGTGCTCAGGGCAAAGATGTGTTTCTGTACCTCCCATCCCACTTTCTCTGTTTTTGTGCTCTGTGCATTTGGTGAGCGGATCATCCAGTTTGTGCAGAATTGAACGTACTGCCTTGACCATTTGACGGTCGCCGAACCTTCTAGGCTCAGGAACTCCAACCAATAGCATGTGAGAGAAAAAGGGGTCTCTTGCGTTTGGTTGGGAGCCACAGGAACTGTAGGATCAGTTTTAACCAGTGGTCCGCACTGGTAGCGGAGCCCTAGGACGGGCAGGGTTTTGCCATGGAATCTGGCACCAAAGGTGAGTCTCAGGTGAGACGCTTTGCTGGTGATGGTGACAATCCCCCGAAGCAGTACAAGCAGTGGAAGCGATGGGCTCGGGCCTATCTTAAGGTCCAAGGCTCAAAAGGGATGTCTGCAGATGCTTTTGGATCTGTTCTGTACACACTACTGGACGGCCCGGCACTCCGAGCTTTTGATGCCACCGACATGGACATCATCGAAACTGCCGGAGGCCAAGATGTGATCTTTCAGGTGCTGGACGAGAGGTACCCGGAGGAGGCATCACATGACCGTTTGGGAGAAGTTCTAGATCAAATTTTTGATTTGAAGGTGGACAGAAATGAGAGCACGGCAGCATTTACAGGCAAAGTGAGATCAGCTTTCTCAGCAGCGGAAGCAGAAGGGATCAGATTTCCTTCCGTGGCCAAGGGCTACATGGTGCTGAGGTTTGCGAAGCTGACGCCAGAACGGAAGGCAGTAGTTTTGGCTGCTGCCCGAAGATCATACGAGGAACAGGACATCATGGCTGCCCTGAGAACAACGTACCCAGAGGGACTCCATCAGTCCAGGTCGTCGGTGAATGCAGTGACCAAAGTGGAGGAGAGCCAGAGTGGCGAAGAGCACGGTGCATTGGCGACGGAAGAGGCTGATGAGGAGAATGAGCCCTTAGATGAACAGGACGCCATCGAGGTACTCTTGTCATGGAAGGAGACAAGAGCCAAGATCAGCAAGGAGAAGCTGAGTCGAGGTTTTCCAACTCGCCAGGATGTGAAGAAGCTGGAAGCTCGTGTGCGATGTTTCAAGTGCAAAGCAGTGGGACATTTCAGCAAAAATTGTCCTAAGAGAGGCAGCTCCAGCTCTACAAGTTCCCCTGGAAAGAGTGGCGTGAAGGTGAATTTTGTGAATATGGTTTCTTCTTCCAGCGATTCAAAGACACAGTCCATCGTCGACGAGTACGACATGATCGAGCATGACGAGACGGACCAGGTCACCGAGCACGAGATTGACGTCATGGTGAACGAGTGGGCTGATCGACGCAAGGATTTCTGGAAGACTGAGAATGAGCAGGTGATCAGAGTGCATGTGCTCCCACGACGGAACCTTTTCACACCCATGAGGACACAATGTCCTGTCTCAGTGGAGGAGCTGAGCACCGCGAGATTGACGAAGGTGAAGCCCAGTCAGGACGGGAGATCAGCAACCGAGGTCTTCACCGCCAATTGGAAACATTCTGGAGAATCTCACCGAGATCTCGGATATGAATGGACCGGAGAGACAATCTTCTACAAGGACAAGGCAGTGATCTATGAGTCACCAGAGCAGGAGGAGACGGAAGAGGAGATTGACGGTGTGGCGGCGGTGTTGATGGATTTGATGCGACAATATCATGGAGGACAAGCTTTTCAAGTGAGATCAGACCCAGGAGATTGGGTAGACCTACAAGAAGACACGTCCACCGAGGAGACGATTGCGGCTTACGCCGATGCTTTCAGAGAAGTTCAGCTCAAGGCCCAGGAACCAAATGCAAACATGAACGACCCCGAAGGACCACGAGATCATCGAGCTGACGGAGATGACTCTTCATCAGGTGAGGAGCATGACATGCAATTCTCTGGGCAACAACCATGTCTCACTCATCCTCCTGGCTTTGGAGTGGTTGACACGGGATGTGGACGTGGACTCATTGGAGCTGACACACTTCAAAGACATCGAGACCTTTTGGCGACCAAGAACATCAAGATCATTGACCTGGCAAACCAGAAGCAGGTTTTCCGCTATGGAAACGGCAGCGTGGATGAGGCGATTGGAAGAGTGGAGATACCAATTTTCATCCAGGGCAGACAGCTCCGGATGAGAGTGAGCGTGGTGCCAGGACAAGTGCCACTGTTGATTTCCAAGCGATGTCTCAAGGCATTGGGAGCTCACATTGATTTGGTGACATCCACGATGCACCTCACCAAGGCTGGACTCCAAGCACCACTCCATGAGCCAAAGAACGGCTCGTACCAGATTAATCTTTGTGATTTTGATCCCCAACGAGCTGCACCCTTCAAGTCTGAGGAGATCGACCTTACGGACATTACCTTCGTGAACATGGTGACCACCGACGACACCCACAAGAACGACGCAGAGGTAGTCATGGACACCAATGAGGACATGTTTGAAGGGAATTGGGGAGTCATGAAGGCTCAACAGCGCAAGATGCTGATGCGCGACATTCAGGAAGCTCTACGAGTACATGGAGAAGACCGACAACCCAAGATCATGGAAATCTTTTGCCCTGGACGTTTTGCAGAACAAGCTCAGGCCATGGGGTACCAGAGCGTTGGCACTCTGGATCTCTCAAATGGATGGGATTGGAGTCGGGATGACCACCGACGTGCTGCGGAGCTTCTGATTGACCAAGCCCAACCAGACCTTCTGCTGATGTGCCCCCCTTGCGGACCTCTGAGTCCATTGCAGAATTTGACTCCTGATCATCGACGAAGAGATCCACAAGGACATGAACAAGAAGTGCTGCAAGCCAAGTCTATGATTCGTTGGTGCGTCAAGATGGCGCGGAAGCAGTTGGCGGCTGGGAAACACTATCTCTTTGAAAGCTCAAAGAGAGCTGGCACATGGAGTATCCCGGCTATGGAGAATTTTGTCAAGGAGACCAACCCGGCCATCCTTGAAGTCTCCCTTTGCTCTCTGCATTTGCGATGCCCTGAGTCTCGCAGGCTATACGGCAAGGAGTGGCGATTTATGACTTCCTCTCTGGGAATTGCGACTCAACTGGCACCTCTCCATTGTCAAGGAGGACATGAACATCAGCCGGTTGAAGGATCATCAGGAGGACAGCTGCGATCAGTTCAGACTCAGGTTTATCCCAAGACTTTGATTCGAAAAATTCTAGCTGGGTTTCATCGTGAGGAAGGTTGTAATTTATGTTTTGCAGTTATTGAAGAACAACAGAAGAGTGATGACACAAATTTGAAGGAATCAAAGAGAAAGATACATCAAGCCATTCAGAAGATGCACAACAATCTGGGACATGCATCAAACAGTGATCTTGTCAGAATCCTCCGACATGCTGGTGCACAGGACAAAGTTTTGGACATGGTTAAGCAGTTTTCGTGTCCAACATGTGACGCTAGGGCAGAGCCAAAGATCACCCGAAATTCAACTGTGCCAAAAGATGTGGCCCCGTTGAGATATGTTGGTTTGGATGTCAAATGGTTGCCAGGGTTCAAAACCGGAGAACGCATCAAAGCTTTGAATGTTGTTTGTAGAGCTTCAGGACTTCAACAAATGACTCCTTTTAGGGAAACTGAATCTTCCGAAGTCATTCGGAAACTGTACCGGCAATCATGGACCAGACCGTATGGCCGACCAAAATGGCTGAAATTCGATGCGTCCAGGTGCAATTTGGGACAACATTTCTTAGATGCTTTGGAGAGAGATGGAACCACTGTTTTGGATGTACCGGGAGAAGCACATGAACAAATTGCAGATGTGGAAGTACATGGGAAACATTTTGAAATCATGTTGTCCAAGGTGATTGATCACATGCAGCCACAGAACTATGACGAGTGGCTTGAATGTGTGGACTGCACCACAGAGGCTAAGAATAGCCTGTTGCGCCGTGGCGGACATAGCCCCTATCAGCTGGTGCTTGGCCAAGACCCGGAGTTTCCGGGTGATGATATGTTGTGTCCAATGTCTGAGCCAAATGTTATTTCAAATAGCACCATCATTGTGGATGAGCTTGCAAAGTTTTCACAACAGGCAAGGCTTGAGGCAAGAAAGGCTCTGTTGCAAGAGTTGGACCAGCAGGCAGCACGGACAGCACTAAATTCACGACCGAGACCTCACCGGAGTTTCAAGCCAGGTGATGAAGTAGCAGTTTGGCGTCGAGGTCGTGGAATACCAGGAAAGAGGAGTCATGCCAGATGGCGGGGACCCGGAATTGTTGCTGGTGTAAATGGGAATCATTACTGGGTGTCAATGCCAGGGGCCATGATAAAATGTTCAGTGGAACAACTACGTTTTAGAACCATTGAAGAAGGTGAGGCAGACAAGTTCCTGGTGCGTGATTTGCGAGCAGCGGCAGTGAATCTGTATCCAGATGTGGGCGGAGAAAACAGACGACAAAAACATTTTCTGGATATTACTACAGAGGATATTCCCCCTACAAAGTTGTTGACGGAAACCCCACCGGTTATTCCCGAAGTTCAAGAAGGAGAACAATCATCATCATCAAGTTCAAGTTCCTCCTCATCCTCATCTTCATCAGGGTCTACTCCTTCGAAACCCCAGGAAAAGACAAAGAACGCCCCGGATACAGATTCCAAGCCAGCCGGCGGTGAACCTCAGCAAGTGCCGAGTTCCGGACCGCAGTCCATCAAAAGTTCTGGACCGCAGTCAATTTCGAGTTCACAGTCTCGAGAAGAGCAGATTGCACAGCTGTCACCCCAAGAACGAGAATTGGTTCGTGTTTCTGAAGAAAGAGCAAGCAGACTAGATGGACATCCTCAACCATCTCAAAGACTTCCAGAACCCAAAAGGAGTAAAACAGAGTCTCAGCAGTTTGGTGGACGACAGCTACCGCCGTCATTGCCAGCCCCTCCTAGCCGAACACACAATGTTTGGCATGTGCAAGATTCAGCTGATCAATGCGTGGCTCTATCCGAGCTAGATTCCGATGAGGGCGGGTTTGTTTTGGCCGTTGCTGATGGAGAAGTTTTACTAGCTGGTGGTAGGAAGGAAATCAATGTACGAAATTTTGAGTGGAAGACAGAACAAGGACAAGAAAAGATAGCTAAAGGAATGATGAAAGAACTGACAACAGTGATTCAGGACAAGCAGGCCCTCAAACCTTTGAGTTTAGCCGAGACGGCTGAGATCAAGCGATGCTGCCCGGACCGTATTCTGGAGAGCCGTGTAGTTTTGACCGAGAAAGTTGAGGACTCAGGAAATTGTATTGTCAAAGCGAGGTGGACAGCACGTGGAGACAAAGACCCTGATCTTTTCACTTTGATTAGGGAAGGACGAACTCAGGCTCCTACCATATCTACCAATGGTCGATATACAGTTCTCCAGACAATAGCCAGCAAGAGATTCACACTCCAACTGGGAGACGTGACAGGAGCTTTTCTTGAGGCCAACAATTTCAACAGGAAACAACGACTCTTTTTGAGAGCCCCCAAAAATGTTCCAATGCCAGGATACGAAGAGTATGAACTGTTTGAGGTGATCAAGCCTTTGTATGGTCTCAACGACTCCCCTCAAGGTTGGTTTCTTACCTATCGAGACACGGTCAAGCAGCAGGGTTGGCGTCAGTCGAGACTGGATCCATATGGGTGTTCATGTTGACGATGTCCTAATTGGTGGAAAAGGTGGTTTGTTTGAAGAAAAACTGGCTTTGTTGAGGAATACTTTTCCTTTTCGGAAATGGAAAGTGAGTCAAGGAGATTTTTGCGGGTCCCATCTTCGACAAGATGCCGAGACAGGAGTCATCCATGTGTCACAAGCAGAGTTCGCCAGCAAGCTGCCAAAACCGAAGTTGAGAGGTAGAGGTGAAGGTCCTATTACAAAGGAAGAAGGAAAGTCTCTGAAGTCTGTGCTAGGATCAGCCCTTTGGTTAGCAAAAGAAACAAGACCTGATCTAGCGGTCCAAGTAAGTCAATCTCAGCAATTGCTTCCAGAACCAACTCTGAAGCAGGCAAGAACAGTCGGAAATGTGACCAGACGTGCAAGACAATATCAAAACCTCGAATGGAAGATTTTGCCTATCCCTTTTGAAGAGCTGCGTTTGTGTTTGCACAGTGATGCTGCCTTTGGTAACGCTAGCAAAAACGGGACCCAAGCTGGTTATATTGTTGGTGTGTCCAACGAAAACTTGAGAAGAGGTGAGGTGGCACCATGGGGAGCAGCGACATGGAAATCCTATCGTTTGAAGCGGGTTGTTGGATCAACATTTGCGGGGGAATCGCAAGTGCTTTTGGACGGACTTGGACATTTGGAATGGATAGCATGCCATTTGGCTGAGATGGGAAACAACAACTTCAATTTGGCGAATAGGCATCAGGATGTTGCAAAATTTCAGGCGCAGGCTATTGTGGATTGTAAGTCCATTTTTGACCACCTGCAAAGTTTTTCCTCCCCAGGGTCAGTATCTGACAAACGAGTGGCCATTGACTTAGTGATCATCAGGGAAACCTTAAATCGAATCAGTGGAAAAATTAGATGGGCCCCCACTTGGCTTCAACTTGCGGACGCCCTGACTAAAGAAAACCCTGATGCGATGGATATTTTGAGAGCTGCAATGCATGTGTCTCAATATCAATTGAGTGAAGAAAGTCTTATGATGAATGCTGCGGCAGAGCAACGCAGTAAACGTCAGGAGAGAACACCAAAACAAAAGGAAGCAGCCCGAAAGGCTTTTGAGGCTCTCAGGAAACCCCAGGAGACGTTTGTCAATTTCGTCGTGCCCGAGTGCCGTGAGAACATGGTGAAAGTCAGCACAGCAGGACTTGCTGAAGGAGAAGTCCGAGCTCTTTTCGAGGCCGTCACCAACACGTGGGTGAAGGACCCCGAAGAGTACTTAGAATGTGTCATTCAGAATCAGACGGCATGCAAGATCAAGATGCCACTGAACAAGATGAATGGCAAAATGTTCAAAGGTGTCGAGATGAAGGTCAACTTGAGCTACACCAAGTCGACCCAGATGGTTGCTGTCACCACCGGTGCAGCATATCTGGACCAGGCTGAGCAGCAGCTCAAGGATGTCTTGGGAGTTTACCGGCATTTCATAGACCACCGACAAGTGCTTCCCCTTCCAGAAGGGTCAGAGACATGGAGTGAAGCGCTTGGCTATCTTCGGAACTATGGAATCAAGTCCAACTATATGATCAAGACAGAGGTGGATGACGATGAAGATCCGATGAAAAAGACCTATGCCGACATGTTCCCAGACGCCAAATCGAAGTTCACACCTGATGAGGAAGAGTTCAAAGCAGCGATTGCCGAGTTGGCACATGAGACATCAAGGAAGCTTTACAACTACCCAGCATGGAAGAACCAGATCCTTGAATTTCTCCTCCAGGAGTGCGATGCTGATACCGACATGATTCGCGAGCTCATGAGCACGCCAGCCGAGAGTGAAACAAGCTGGTCAGAAGTGACAGAGAGAAGCTCTAAGATGATTGGAGCAAAGGCCAAGTCATGTGGATACAAGCCGAAGAGTGAAGTCAAGGCAGAGAGAAAATAGATCAGTGCAGAATTGAACGTACTGCCTTGACCATTTGACGGTCGCCGAACCTTCTAGGCTCAGGAACTCCAACCAATAGCATGTGAGAGAAAAAGGGGTCTCTTGCGTTTGGTTGGGAGCCACAGGAACTGTAGGATCAGTTTTAACCAGTGGTCCGCAGTTTGCAAAAAGTTTGTTGGACACCTTCGCCTCCCATTTATCGCATGTGTATGGAGCAATTCCCACAGTGCGTTTGAAGATCTGCAGCACGTCTATGGGCGGACTCCAAGACTTTGTTGTGGTGCGACTGTCTTGCTTCAGGTCAGAAGCTCTACTGCTGGCATCTGGACATCAACTGGACCTGGTGACTATGAGCGCCATTACAAGCGCCATGGAAAGGGCTTGGCAATGGCAGAATCTCGCTTGTGAACGGGCATACTTGGCATGCTTGTAAACGATCTCAGCAAGCATTGAAATTACCTCAGAACTCAGACCAAAAGTCTTCTTGTAATTTGGAACGTCCGGGCGAGTGAAGAATGTCGATGCCATCGTATGCCATCCTATGCCACCAGCATCCACCAGCTACCCAGGCGTGGATTGCAAGTCCTGGCTGATTTCTTCATGGCCACTGTCGCTGGCATTTGGGCACTGAGTGCTGCCTGCAGTGCCTGCGAGAAGTGTGGCCGCTGGGAGGAAACCATGGCCCTGCAACGGCAGCTGGTCAGATGTCCTATGCCAGGTGGTGATGCGACCTATTCCTGCAACTTGGCATGCTCCATCTCCAATTTTCAACCCAATAGCCGGGGATATGCCATTATGATCCATAATGGATGATTTGGGATAGCTTTGGCAATGCCCATTCCACAAGTCTTGGTGCATATCCATCTTGCGGGGAACGGTTCCAAGTTGGATGGACATATTCAATTGATTTGATTGATTATGGAAATGGATGTTTTCCTGCACATGCTCCAAAAAATGATTCCATTTCTGGAAGATGCCTTCTGAATCCTTCTCTTGCCATACGTTGTTTAGTTCGGGGGGCTTATTTCAGAATACATATACGAATCCATGAAACATATTCTTTCCTAGAGTCCTAGATGTTTTTTCGGTCAACATGGTTTCCCACACACAAATCTCCATCAAAATGGATGTTTTTCTATGAGCAAACCTGGTTTATCTGATTTTCCAATCCATAGATGGAGTTAGTTTTGATAGCGAAACATGTCCATAGCTGGAAACCCACCAATTAGTTTCCCACAAGCATTTCCGTAAATTCTGGTAGCCCACGTTGCAAAGCCGCCCAGAAATGTGGTACATGGCTTCAGCGCTGGCAAAAAATGGATGTTTTTCAGGACGTTTTTCCCCAGAACAAACCGTGATTTTCCGCCACTCCTTGAGGCAATGCAGTGTTGAGCTCCCTGGAGAAGGCCCACCTCTGGGTCTCGGCTCTTAGCCTGGCGACCGAGCCGCTGGACGTCATCGGTGCCAGCGCAGTGGTGAGCGCCTGCGAAAAGATGGGCCGATGGCGACGAGCCAAGGAGATCTTGGGGCAGTTGAAGTTCCAGAAGGCCCACATTAAATGGGGTATGCAGGTTTTTGCACCATGAGATTTTATCTATATCTATACACACACACACAATATATATATATATATGCAACCAAATTTGGTGAATTTTACGCCAAAAAACAGATTTGATTTAACAATCTCATTGGTAAAACATAGGGATTTATGCGACAAAAATTGGAACCGGCACAATGGGATTAAATCCAACCTTTATCATTGATCATCACTTACCAGCATGAGTCGGTTTCCTTGGGCGAGTCAACGTGGGAGCGTGCCATTCTCCCATTTCCATCCATTTCCACAGATTCTCTGATTCTTCATCAAGACTTTGCAACTTTCCAGAAATTTCAAATAGTAAGAATAGCAATGACATGCAATGACCATTTTATTTTTTTTATTCCTTTGGACCCAAGGGAAGACAGACCAGGTCCAACCGAATGAGATCACCTTCAATGCTGCCATCAGCGCATGTGAGAAGGGAGAGATGTTGGTGGCTGCGTCCAGGCGAGGTGTTGAGTACAATTCAACATATTCAACACAATTCATCTCCAACGACTTTGATGATTATAAAACTGAATAAATGATTATAAATGATAATAAATGAATAAATAGATACATATAGTCTGCAGACATATATATGCATCTCCACTTTTTTGCATGGAGGCCTTCAAGCGTTGTCGCTGGCAAAAGACTGGACCAACATCGAAGCAATGGTGAACCTGGGGCCCAACCGATGCGCACGCCCTGGAGGAGCACGTAGCCGGACAGAATTGATGGTTGAACGCTTGGGACACTTAGAATTTCTTAGAATCATTGGGTCATCATGAGGGTTGAAGATTGGCCCTATGATTCACGTGGGGGGACTGAATCCAGAGCGCCGTGGGGACAAAAATGGCGACGCAGTTTGGGACGGGGAGTGGCTGGGTGCGAGAACTGAAAAAGGAAGAACATGGGCTCAGATTCTCAGATGTGGATTCAGTGATACTGAGATGTACGGAGCATGTCGAGATAAAGTGTAAAGCAGATGAAAGCAGTGGCATTGGAAGCAATTACTGACAATTACATATAACTTACGATGTAAGCACTTCTACGAACTATCAACAATTACATGTCATATCACGTCATCGCACATTAACCCGGGCTTTGACACAGCACACTTAGGGAGCCCAGGGAGCACGCCCCCTGCCTTGACAACGAACAATGATGACGAATGAGTGATGCTTCGTGAGCTTTCTGACGTAAGTTGATAAAAACTCAGATTTTATTGAACTTAAGGTGCAATGATGGGGCAAGGATGATGGGGTAATGGGCGTGGTAGGGACTGATGCTCTCTAGCTTTCATATTTTATGTTTGCGGACCTTGATGCGTACCTTGCAGCTTCTCAAGTGAAATTGCAGACACTTCCACTCTGGATCGATATGTCTTGAAACATTTCCTTTTGGGACAGGGAAATCGGATGGGAGCATCTTGCCACGCTCACATGCTCATCAGGTGGCAAATTACTAAGTGTCAGTCTAATTTCAAGGTTTCCAATCCTCCTTTGGTGTTCCGTTCTACCTGGATTAGTATGGAATGATGATCGCATTTGACAGACTGAACGAATAGGTTTTGGACGTGTTTACTGTTTACATATGTTTTTGAGAGATAATGTCCTGTTTTAGTCTTAGTTGAACCCACTCAACCAGATGATCATCAGATGATCAGATGTCAGCCCCAGCAGACCCAAGAAACACTCCGCATTGCCATGTCGCACCCTGCGCCCGGCAAGGGCCAGGGCAAGGAGGGCCAGGGCAAGGGCCGCCAGGGCAAGGGCCGCCAGGGCAAGGGCCGCCCGAGCAAGGGCTGGATGCCCCGTGGCGCATCGCTCTTAAGGCACCTGCAAGGGATGCAGCCCAGCTCCATTCCGCGCTTGGTGACTTGGGATGACTTGGGCAGGTTGGATTTGAATGGCTTTGATGAAGAAGATACGGGAGGAATAAGAATCTTGAGATGTAATCGGGATCAATTGGGATTTAATGAGAATGATTGGACAATGAAGCAATACAGGTGATTTCAGAGGCCAATGCAGAACCATTTGGTAATCAATTATGACTATGACTGTAGAATCGCCGTCGAAAGGAACATCAGCAATAGATGGAAACTATTGTGGGATGTTCGCGGGTCAATATTTTGATTAGGATGATGGAATCATGTGGCTGGCTACTGGGTTTTGGAAAGATGATTAGAGTGGAACTTTCAGCAGAAACAACGTGGATCTGACATAGTATAGATGTGGCTGCTCGTAGGGCATTGTCTTGTTTTGCTTGTAGAAAAGAGCGGGGCATATATATATATAAATGTCTCTCTCGCTCTCTCTCTCTCTCTATATGTAACTACAGAACTATATATATATAATTAGAACTATATATATAATTAAGTGATTCTATAATTCTATAATTCTATAATCATACATTTATGTCAGTACATCACTATATGTATCTATATGTAATATAGGTGGCTCTTGGAAAAACTGGCGCCCTGTGGTGCCATGTTGATTGCACCAGAGTCACATCCACCATGAATCGCACATACCCACATGTGGGAGGGGAGGTGCCAGCCACTGGATTCGCTTCCCTATCAATATTATGGATGGCTTTCAGGGCCGAGAATTTGAAGCCAATTTGCCAATGCCACTTCATCAAACCTCATCCAAGCGAGGTTGGACACCCACTCTCTGCTGACGAGTACTTCTTGTCTGCAATGGCCGTGCGTCAGGACTGAGGGGTTAAGGGTTGCCCAACTTTTCAGCTTCACTCAGAAGCAGCCACTCCTGGGCTAAGAAGTGACCCCAGGATGCCCAGACCCATGCAGATGAGAACAACCTTTTGACCTTTGGTGAAGCTGCGGGTTGGGATGTGGATGATATGCTGGCAGCTCAAGCGCCGGCACGGAACATGGGTTCTGTGGGAAGTGGCGAAGGTTTGGTGGGCACCTGTGGCTTCATGGGCGTGGCGGCGGGAAAGTATGCTGCCAGACTGAAGGCGGTGGAGTTGAACGCTACATTTCATGACCAAGGGGATGCCAGCTGCTTGGAAGATTTGGCATTGGGGCTTTGATTGTTGGATCTCGACCCAGTGACGGATAGTGACTGACGACATACACACGCGCACGATCGCGCACGCATATGCGTGCATTTATACAGAAGTATACATATACTACAATTTATATTTCTTCTTCTTCTTCTTCTCATTGTTATTATTATTTGTTTATTTGTTTTTGTTTATTTATTATTAATTATTATTATGATTATCATCATGATTATAATAAATAAATAAGTAAATATATTCATGCATTGAGTTTGGCAGGCTTGGGTGTGCATGTGTCATCTTTAAGTGAGTCAATGAATGCTTTCATTTTGGCTCAAGTGGAGCTGAGCCAAAATAGCATTCATTGCTGTTTCTTTCCTGGCCCTGGTAAGGGGTGACCTTCCTAGACCTTGATTGAGCGGCTCACCACATCAATAACCAGGGGTGACCTGGTTGGTTACAAGCATCGTAAGGGGTGACCTGGTAGTTGCAAGGGGAGACCGTGCATGCAGCGTAAGCTTCGTGGGAGCGATATCCCGGCGGCCACCGAGGCGTCGCTCCTCCATGCTGCTGCGTTCCTGGAGTTCAAGCAGCACGTGGCGAAGCGATGCATTCTTGCTGCAGCAGTTCTTGGAAGACGCCAGAAACGGTTTTTGTACACCTCCTCTGCGGCGAGCAGAGTTCCTCAGGGACATTGGCGGCCGGGCACATCGTCTTATCCTGCGCTGTGTGACCACCCAAAGTTCGGGGAAACAACGAGTCATCGACAACGGTGACACCGGAGGGCAATCAGACCTTTCTTCCGATGCCAACATGCTTACACTATGTAGTCGCCCATAAGCCTGGTTATGCGTCGTTGGTCTGAGGACGAGGTCGCCGAGTTTTGTCACCATGATGCCTGGGAGACAGGCTAAGAGGACCTGCCGTCTGCCTACAGGTACTGCCCCATGTCAGCAGGAGAGCTTAGGCTGCGTTGTCGTCTGGTTTCACTGATGAGTGGCAAACTCCGGTATCCCAGGTCTATGCAGGCCTCTTGTTTAGGCTCCCCCTGGCAATCACTTCGTTCAACTGATTTTCCCAGACTGTTGGAAGCGCTGACTCGCTGGTATTGCCAAGTTTTGACATCCCTGTACTTTAATGCCGCGATCACTGATGTCCGCTCTGCCAAGGGCTCCGGGCAATGGGCGATGAAACAACTATGCCTGATGATCGGATCTTTATTTGCGGAAGACAAAACGCAGACCATGCAGAGCACTGGCGCTTCTTTGGGACTTACCCATGACCTGAGTTGCATCAATAAGACAGGTCATCTTCGTTTTTGGGCCCGCACCAGACTCCATGGCAAAGTTCGTGATGTCTTGCCACAGCACGTCAAGCAGGCCACTTTACTCGAGGCACAGCTTCCAAACTTTATAGACTTGCAATCTTCTTGGAGCAAGGTATTTCTGGGCGAGTCGGGTATGGCGGTCTCATGGCCATCAAGGCACGCAACTGGAGCTCTCTATGGTGTTGTGCGCCTTGATCGAGCGCCCCGACCTTTTTCGACATCGACATGGTCTCTGGTTCCTCGACAACGTTGCCGCAGTCATGACCTTGGTGAGAGGGCGCTCTAGCAATTCGGGGTTAGCAAAGCTCGGCCATTTGATCCATTTGGCTCTGTTTGCACTGCGTGCCCAGCACTTGAGGGTTCCCAACACTTGCCATGCATATGAATTGACTTTTTAAGCGAGTTTCAGTTTCCAAGTAGGGGTGATCCTACTTCTGGAAACCTGGATATTTGCGATTTCAGCAGCGCTGGCTGCTGCTGGTTTTGACTTCCCCAAGCAAGCTGGGTGTCGGCAGTGGGCACAGAAATGTGGGCGTTTGCTGTTTTAAGCAGGTTGGGTTTCCAGCAGGAGGTGATCCTGCTTGGTGTGGCCGTACTTGCTTTCGTGACATATATTGGGGTCCAAGCGGGGGTGATCCTCCTTGATGGCGCCCAACACTTGCCATGAGTATTGCTTGGACCACAGGGGGAGTGACCACACGGCTGTGGGCCTCTGCGTTCTCAAGTAGGTTGGGTTTCAAGCAGGAGGTAACCCTACTTGGTATGGCCGTATTGCTTTAGGGGCATAGGGTTTGGGTCCAAGTGGGGGTGGTCCTACTTGAGGGTGCCCAACACCTGCCATGAATATGGCTTGAAGTTTTAAGAACAATTTCAGTTCCAAGTAGGGGTGATCCTGCTTCTGGGCAACTTGGTTTCTGGCCATTTCAGCAGCTGGAGGCTGTTGGTTACTTTGACTGCCCCAAGCAAGCTGGGTTTCCAAGTAGAGGTAACGCTACTTGAGGATCACAGGTTGCCCACTGGCACTGCCAGGGAGTGAACACAGGGCTGTGGGCCTCCGCTGTCTTAAGCAGGTTGGGTTTCAAGCAGGAGGTAATCCTATTTGGTGTGGCCGCACTTGCTTTCGTGACATAGTTTTGAGGTCCAAGTGGGGGCGATCCTACGTTTTGGTGCCCAGCACTTGCCATGAATCTGGCTCGAATTTTTAAGCGAATTTCAGCTACCAAGTAGGGGTGATCCTACTTCTGAGCACTTGTTTTTTTTTGCAAATTCAGCAGAACTGGAGGTTGTTGGGTCTGACTTCCCTCCAGGAGGCTGGGTTTCCAAGTAGAGGTGACGCTACTTGCAGGCCACAGGTTGCCCATCGACACTGCAAGGCAGTGACCAGAGGGTTGTGGGCCTCTGCTGTCTTAAGCAGGTTGGGTTCCAAGCAGGAGGTAATCCTACTTGGTGTGGCCTTACTTGCTCTAGCAACATAGGTCCGACGTCCAAGTGGGGATTATCCCACTTGAGGGTGCCCAGCAGTTGCCATGAGTATGGCTTGAAATTTAAGCAAATTTCAGTTTCCAAATAGGGGTGATCCTACTTCTGGAAACTGGATTTTTGCAATTTCAGCAGAGCTGGGGGCTGTTGGTTTTGACTTCCCCAAGCAAGCTGGGTGGCGGCAGTGAGCACAGAGATGTGGGCCTCTGCTGTCTTAAGCAGGTTGGGTTTCAAGCAGGAGGTAATCCTGCTTGGCGTGACCTTATTGCTTTAGTGACATATGTTTTGGGCCCAAGTGGGGGTGATCCTACTCGTTGGTGCCCAACACCTGCCATGAACGTGGCGTCAGTTTTTAAGCGAATTTTGGTTTTCAAGTAGGGGTGACCCTACTGGTGGAAACTTGGAGGTTTTCGTTTTCAGCAGAGCTGGAGGCTGTTGGTTTTGACTGCCCTAAGCAAGCTGGGCGTCGGCAGTGCGCACAAAAATGTGGGCGCTTGCTGTTTTAAGCAGGTTGGGTTTCCAGCAGGTGGTGATCCTGCTTGGTGTGGCCGTACTTGCTTTAGTGACAATTGTTTTGGGTCCAAGTCGGGGTGATCCTACTCGTTGGTGCCCAACACTTGCCATGAACGTGGCGTCAGTTTTTAAGTGAATTTTGGTTTCCAAGTAGGGGTGACCCTACTTGTGGAGACTTGGAGGTTTTCGTTTTCAGCAGAGCTGGAGGCTGTTGGTTTTGACTGCCCCAAGCAAGCTGAGTGTCGGCAGTGCGCACAGAAATGTGGGCGTTTGCTGTCTTAAGCAGGTTGGGTTTCAAGCAGGAGGTAGCCCTACTTGGTGTGGCCTTATTGCTGTAATGGCATAGGTTTTGGGTCCAAGTTGGGGGTGGTCCTACTTGAGAGTGCCCAACACCTGCCATGAACATGGCTTGAAATTTTAAGGAAATTTCAGCTTCCAAGTAGGGGTGATCCTACTTCTGGGCAACTTGTTTTTTTTGGCATTTTCAGCAGAGCTGGAGGCTGTTGGTTTTAACTGCCCCAAGCAAGCTGGGCTTCCAAGTAGAGGTAACGCTACTTGGGGATCACAGGTTGCCCACTGGCACTGCCAGGGAGTGACCACAGGGCTGTGGGCCTCCGCTGTCTTAAGCAGGTTGGGTTTCAAGCAGGAGGTAATCCTACTTGGTGTGGCCGCACTTGCTTTCGTGACATAGTTTTGGGGTCCAAGCGGGGGCGATCCTACGTTTTGGTGCCCAGCACTTGCCATGAATCTGGCTCGAATTTTTAAGCGAATTTCAGCTACCAAGTAGGGGTGATCCTACTTCTGGGCACTTGTTTTTTTTGCAAATTCAGCAGAATTGGAGGTTGTTGGGTCTGACTTCCCTCCAGGAGGCTGGGTTTCCAAGTAGAGGTGACGCTACTTGAAGGCCACAGGTTGCCCATCGACACTGCCAGGCAGTGACCAGAGGGTTGTGGGCCTCTGCTGTCTTAAGCAGGTTGGGTTCCACGCAGGAGGTAACCCTACTTGGTGTGGCCTTATTGCTTTAGTGGCATAGGTTTTGGATCCAAGTTGGGGGTGGTCCTACTTGAGAGTGCCCAACACCTGCCATGAACATGGCTTGAAATTTTAAGGAAATTTCAGCTTCCAAGTAGGGGTGATCCTACTTCTGGGCAACTTGCTTTCTTTTTTTTTTGGCATTTCAGCAGAGCTGGAGGCTGTTGGTTTTAACTGCCCCAAGCAAGCTGGGCTTCCAAGTAGAGGTAACGCTACTTGGGGATTACAGGTTGCCCACTGGCACTGCCAGGGAGTGACCACAGGGCTGTGGGCCTCCGCTGTCTTAAGCAGGTTGGGTTTCAAGCAGGAGGTCATCCTACTTGGTGTGGCCGCACTTGCTTTCGTGACATAGTTTTGGGGTCCAAGTGGGGGCGATCCTACGTTTTGGTGCCCAGCACTTGCCATGAATCTGGCTCGGATTTTTAAGCGAATTTCAGCTACCAAGTAGGGGTGATCCTACTTCTGGGCACTTGTTTTTTTTTGCAAATTCAGCAGAATTGGAGGTTGTTGGGTCTGACTTCCCTCCAGGAGGCTGGGTTTCCAAGTAGAGGTGACGCTACTTGAAGGCCACAGGTTGCCCATCGACACTGCCAGGCAGTGACCAGAGGGTTGTGGGCCTCTGCTGTCTTAAGCAGGTTGGGTTCCACGCAGGAGGTAACCCTACTTGGTGTGGCCTTATTGCTTTAGTGGCATAGGTTTTGGGTCCAAGTGGGGGTAGTCCTACTTGAGGGTGCCCAACACCTGCTATGAAATCCTACTTCTGGCAACTGGATTCTTGCAATTTCCGCAGAGCTAAAGGCTGTTGATTTTGGCTGCCCCAAGCCAGCTAGGTCTCCAAGTCGAGGCACCGCTACTTGAGGCTCACAGGTTCCCCATCGACACTGCCAGGCAGTGACTACAGGGGTGTGGGCCTTTGCTGTCTTAAGCAGGTTGGGTTCCAAGCAGGAGGCAATCCTACTTGGTGTGGCCTTAATTGCTTTAGCGACATAGGGTCCTTCCAATTGGGGGTGATCCTACTGGTGGGTACCCAACACTTGCCATGAATATGGCTTGAAGTTCAACCGAATTTGAGTTTCCAAGTAGGGGTGATCCTACTTCTGGAAACATGGTTTGTTTTTGCAATTTCAACAGAGCTGGAGGCTGTTGGTTTTGACTGCCCCAAGCAGGCTGGGTTCCCAAGTAGAGGCAACGCTACTTGAGAAGCCCAGGTTGCCCATCGACCCTGCCAGGCAGTGACCACAGGGCTGTCTTGAGCAGGTTGGGTTCCAAGCAGGAGGCAATCCTACTTGGTGTGGCCCTAATTCCTTTAGCGACATAGGTTCGGCGTCCAAGTAGGGGTGATCCTACCTGAGGGTGCCCAGCTGTTGCCATGAATATGGCTTGAATTGTTTAAGCGAATTTCAGTTTCCAAATAGGTGTGATCCTACTTCTGGAAACTGGATTTTTGCAATTTCAGCAGAGCTGGGGGCTGTTGGTTTTGACTTCCCCAAGCAAGCTGGGTGGCGGCAGTGAGCACAGAGATGTGGGCCTCTGCTGTCTTAAGCAGGTTGGGTTTCAAGCAGGAGGTAATCCTGCTTGGCGTGACCTTATTGCTTTAGTGACATATGTTTTGGGCCCTAGTGGGGGTGATCCTGCTCGCCATGAATGTAGCGCCAGTTTTTAAGCGAATTTCGGTTTCCAAGTAGGGGTGTTCCTACTTCTGGAAACTTGGATTTTTGCGGTTTCAGCAGAGCTGGAGGCTATTGGTTCTGACTGCCCCCAGCAAGCTAGGTTTCTAAGTAGAGGTAGCGCTACTTGAGGATCACAGGTGGCCCATGGGCATTGCCAGGCAGTGACTACAGGGCTGTGGGCCTCTGCTGTCTTAAGCAGGTTGGGTTACAAGCAGGAGGCACTCCTGCTTGATGTAGCCTTACTTGCTTTTGTGACATAGGTTTGGGATCCGAGTGGGGTCAATCCTACGTGGTGGTACCCAACACCCGCCAGGAGCCTGGCTCGAATTTTTTAAGCGAATTTCAGCTCCCAAATACGGGTGCTCCTACTTCGGGACACCTGAGGTTCTGAGCATTCAGTAAACTGGAGGCTGTTGGTTTTTGACTTTTCCCGAGCAAGCTGGGTTTCCAAGTAGAGGTAACGCTACTTGAGGGTCACAGCTTGCCCACCGGCACTGCCAGGCAGTGACCACAGGGCTGTAAGCCTCTGCTGTCTCAAGCTGGTTGGGTTTCAAGCAGGAGGTAATCCTACTTAGTGTAGCCCTACTTGCTTTAGCGACATAAGTTCGGCATCCAAGTGGGGGTGATCCTACCTGAGGGTGCCTAGCAATTGCCATGAATATGGCTCGAATTTTCAGCGAATTTCAGTTTCCAAGTAGGGGTGATCCTACTTCTGGAAACTTGGATTTTGCAATCTCAGCAGCGTGGGCTGCTGTTGGTTTTGACTCCCCCAAGCAAGCTGGGTGTCGGCAGTGCGCTCACAGATATGGGCCTCTGCTGTCTCAAGCCGTTTGGGTTTCAAGCAGGAAATATTCTGCTTGGCTTCAGTGACGTAGGTTTGGGGTCCAAGTGAGGGTCCTACTCGTTGGCACCCGTTTTTTTTTTCTTCTTTTTTTTTAACGTTCTCAGTAGAGCTGGAGGCTGTTGGTTTTGACTGCCCCAGCAAGCCAGGTTTCCAAGTAGAGGTAACGCTACTTGAGGTTCACAGGTTGCCCATGGGCATTGCCAGGCAGTGCCCACAGGGCTGTGGGCTTAAGCTGGTTGGGTTTCAAGGAGGAGATGATCCTGCTTGGTGTGGCCTTATTGCCTTAGTGATTCAGGTTTGGAGTCCAAGTGGGGGTCATCCTACTTGCTGGCACCCATGTTTGCGTTTTCAGCAGAGCTGGAGGCTGTTAGTTTTGCCTGCCCCAGCAAGCCAGGTTCCAAGTAGAGGGAACGCTACTTGAGGTTCACAGGTTGCCCATGATCATTGCCAGGCAGTGGCCACAAGGCTGTAGGCCTCTGCTGTCGTAAGCAGGTTGGGTTCAAGCCGGAGGCAATCCTACTTGATGTGGCCTTACTTGCTTTTGTGACAGGTTTGGGGCCCACGTGGGGGCGATCCTACGTGGTGGTGCCTTCCACTTGCCATGAATCTGGCTCGAATTTTTAAGCGAATTTCAGCTTCCAAGTACGGGTGCTCTTACTTCGGGAAACTTGAGGAGCAGGGCATCTATGGGCGAGTTGGCTATGGTGACCTTATGGCAGTGAAGGCTTGCCAGGACGAGAGTGTCACCAGCTTGACTTCAGAGATTGAAGAATGCTTCGAGGTGATCGAAGCAGTGATGCGTTTCGAGCCAAAACGTGAATTTACAGTTTTGTTGCTACCAATTGCGAAGAACTACAATTCCTGTGGCAGCCTGCAGAGACCCACATTGCGCAGTTGGAGCTCTCCATGGTAATTTACACCTTGAGTGAGAGCCCTGGCCTTCTCCGCCATCGACACGGTCTATGGTTCCTCGACGCTGTGGCTGCAGTCATGACCTTAGTGAGGGGACGTTCTAGCAATTCGGACCTAGCAAAGCTAGGCCATCTGATTCCTTTGGCCCTCTTCGCACTGCGTGCCCAGGGCTACTGGGAGTACGTCCAGAGCAAGAGCAACTGGGCCGACGACTTGGTGGCGCTGCCATGGATCTAGCTTTCATTCGTCGTACCTCCCCACAATCTTTTTCCAGTTGCCATTCGTTGCAGTCATTCTCACCTTTGAATTCCTCTAGTGCTTTGGGTGTTTGAGTGCATTGGGTGATACCTGCAAAGGCAGGTCCCAACCTGGGGTGACCAGGTTGCTGACCAGAGGTGATTCGGTCTGGGGCTATGTGCGAGTCACATTGTGACACATCCAAAGCAAACCTGAGGAGAGCAGGTGAAACAGACTGAACTTTGGTAGGTGGTTGAAAAAGAGCTGTGCGCGGAAGACGTGGTGAGTTCTTCATATGTCACTTTGGGATGTATTCATGCATTGAGTTTGGCAGGCTTGGGTGTGCATGTGTCATCTTTAAGTGAGTCAATGAATGCTTTCATTTTGGCTCAAGTGGAGCTGAGCCAAAATAGCATTCATTGCTGTTTCTTTCCCCACCCTCCCAACCCTAAGAGCCGACCTCCCGTGGAGATGTCCGCCTAGGTTAGGGGAGCCTGCATGGCAGGCGAGTACATAGCCTCTTTCGGGGATACTCTTTTGGGGCGACCAAAAGAAACTTCCCTCCCTTAGGTTAAGGGACGGGTGATACCTGCAAAGGCAGGTCCCAACCTGCGGTGACAGGTTGCTGACCAGAGGTGATTCGGTCTGGGGCTATGTGCGAGTCACATTGTGACACATCCAAAGCAAACCTGAGGAGAGCAGGTGAAACAGACTGAACTTTGGTAGGTGGTTGAAAAAGAGCTGTGCGCGGAAGACGTGGTGAGTTCTTCATATGTCACTTTGAGATGTAAATATATATATATATACACACACCAGTTTATACGGTACTCAACATGTCAACCCGCCAGTCGCCTCAGGTTATGAGGCGCAGGCGGCCAGCTATGCCCAGCTGGGCCTTCGCGTGGTGGTGAAGGTTTCGGGCTACGCCACCCACCGTGTCCAGTTGCAGGATCCCACTGAGTGGTGGCCCTGGCTGCGCGCCAAGTACGCCCCCTTTGTCAACGAAGGCGGTCAGCGCTCGGGGAAGTACCAGAAGTGCGGGATACTGGATTTGGGTCTTCAAAAATGAGGGGAATTTAATCTGGCAAGTTTCATGTGGGAAAAACGATCAACCATAATATTTTGAGATGCCATATTGTTCTGAAACAGCTAACAGAGCATGGTTTAACACACTCTGTTCTTCAGTTTGTGAAGTGATCTTGCAGCTGGATTTGCACTGGACGGCTGTATTTGTTTTGCCGTCTTACTATTCTTTACACAGCCGGGGATAGCTAGTGGTAGTGGCATGTTTAGTGGCCTGCCTTGGAGGCGTTTTGGTGGGTCTCTTGTGGCAGCTTCCGCCATCTTTCACCTGCACTGATGAGAACTGCCAGCGTTTGGAGACTTTGGGCGAGCTCCTGCGTTCAAAATCTCAAACGGAGCCCTGGTTGGAGCTGAGATGCTCGGCTTATGGATCAACTTCTTGGAGGGGGGGACAACTGGGAAGTCAACGGATGTCAAATGTCATGGAATGGTGATGGTAGCAACTTCGGATAAGGTTTGGAGTGATGGAGTAGATAACATCTATATATATTGACATTGTTCAGTGGCCACATTGGTGGCATAGGCAGATTCAAAGATTCCTTTTGGATCCATTTCCGTTGCGCCCAGCTGGGTCCCGCCCAGGACATGCTTTTGAATTTCGTCACTCCTCCTGGTTTCGCAGCCCTCGATGGCGGGAAGGCTTCAAGAAGCAGCAGTTGAGCCTGGTGAGTCTTCACTTGCTGAACGACACCTCCTGGGCTGGTGATTTGGAGTCCGGCTGGCATGGGCTGCCAGAGGTGCCAAGATCGGGATGAGAGGTTTGATGGTTCTGAAATCACCTTGGATCATCTTGGATCTAAGGGAAATATTTTTTCAGATGCTGGGCATGGGCATGTTTTTTGTCTCCTCCTCCGTTGTCCCCCTTATCGTTGCATTCTTTGATCATTTTCGCCCTGCTCCACTGAACAGCCAACAAACATGGCATGTACTCACCACACCATTTGCTCGGGAGGATTCGGCGCCGGACTTCGTGTACCTGCGCTGCTTCGGCACTCGAGGTCGAAGTATTGGAAGCTACAGCAGGGAGGAGCTGCAAGACATGTTGGCTGTGACCCAGAGATCCACCTCCTCAGTGGTGATGTTTGGTCAAGGTGACGCGCCCAAACAGGCCTTGGAAAATGCCTGGGACTTGCAGGACCTGAAAACTCCTGGAGCTTCGAGCCATGTGAACCGAAGTGATTCCAAGCTGGCTGGGAAGGTCTGCAGCGGTGTGGTGCTGCGGAAGGGACAGGATCGAACGGTTCTCTCAGTCACTCTGGAGGATTCCCAAAGCCGCACCGGATATTTGGGCTCCAGACATTCGCGGCGCCGGGGGTTGAAGCTGCGGGTTGGTGAGGTCCTGGAGCATTTGAGGGTGGAAGCGGAAGACGCTTCAGGTCGTTTGCTGTTGAGTGTTTGTGACATTGGCTCCAAAGAGAGCGCAGAAGCAGTGAAGGACAGTTGAAAGAGTTCCACTTCTCAATCTAAGGATATCTAAGGCAACTGTACTTTCGCTGTGAGTTGACCAGGTCATTTAGTGTTCTGACATGTTCCGACTTTAGTTCCGGGGTGTGACGGGTGAGGCCCAGAATGCTTTTTGATTTGATGGAGGAAGTTTAACAGAGATGCCCCTGATTGCAAAGTTCCGCGTAAATCCGCGCAATATATTATCAATATGGGAAGGCACCGAGGAGACCGAGGCTGGCAGCACTTCCCTGGGGGAATGGCATGACAATGACATGACACGATCCCATGGATCCCTGATCCCATGGCTTCACACCTGCCGCCATTCTGACCCGCGGCCATGTTTTAGCTCAGCGAACAGCGTGGAACATGGGGTGCTGGTCTTGGCAGAGTCAAAGGCTCCGGCAGATGCTGGTCATTCACCATGAATAGGGATAGACTCGGATAGACATTCACGAGATTTCATGAGCGTCCAGCAGTTTGGAGGTGGAGGTGTTGTAATGACAACCACTCGGACTCTCAAAATTCATGGCGAATGGTTTTACCCTTGGATCTGCTGCGTCCCAGTCCGGAAATTGTTGATAGCCCACAAATACCAACAGTATCCACACTGGTGAGTGTTATCCCATTTCTACAAGTGGGTTACACTGACGGATACACCGTTCTTCACCAGTTGCACTTGGTGCCGGAGGTCTAATGGAGGCCCCACCGGCAAGGCAGAGCAAGTCCCTTGGCCGCAGCGAGCAATGGAGTGTGGGAACGAGTCAAATCATTGAATAACAGGGGATTTTCTATTGCCATGTTAGAAAAAGAACAGAGGGTAGTGTGCATGTTTCCCTTGAACATTTGAACCCATTTGAACTCTATCACTGGTCACTCTAGTCTCATCCTGTACGTTTTCCATCATTTTCACTCCAAAAATCAACACGAAGGTGGGATGCACCCGCACCTGCTTCTGGCTGGGATGCAATGCCTCCAAGCCAGCCGCAGCCGCCTACTTCCGGCTGGGATGCAATGCCAAGCCAGATGCTGGGATTTATGACTTAGGACGGCTTACAATGTACTGGTATATATACGTATATATATACGTATATATATATATATGTATATATATATATGTATATATGTATATATTGTATACCAAGATGGCACGCAGACCTGGCAGTATTCAGCTGGAAATCAATCTAGGCAGGCCAACAGTTCAAGCTCATCAACAGAGTCTATACCATGTGGCCTGATCCTAGACTTGGTTTTCGGGAAACTTTACTGGAAAAGATATTGACTGATGGTGGGATAGAGAGATGGCTTCCTCCAAAATTCTCGCTGCAACCCCGGCGACCCGAGCGATCTGACTCGCATCCCAGGACCGCCCCTAGCGTCGACGCGCGCGCCATGGGCGTGGGGTTCTTTGACGCCTCGCAGGCAATGCAGGGCGCAGGCGACTTTGGGAATGTTGCCTTCGGCGAGGGCCAAGGCTGCCAGGGCTGCCAGGGCTTTGGCTGGGAACAGATGGCTGGTGGATTTGCATCGCAGTACCTTGGCATAGCACGGTGAGTACATGGCCAGGGGTGGATTGGAGCTATCTGGAGCAGTCCATTGTCATCATGGTTGCTGAATAGAGCAAGACTCTATAATAGACTATAGGTGCATGTAAATGTCATTGCACTTTACATAGATTGGGCACATCATGGCACATCAGATTTCAGTAGGATTCCTCCAAGACATCCCAGGCCGTCGCAGCCCGCGTCCAATCTCATGTCGGAAGTCAAGGCTGGAAGCCCTGGCGAGTGATGCCGGTTTGTTCTTTGTCGCTTAGGCCGGTTAGGTTGGTTCAATCCCATGATATCCCATGATATCCCATGATTTGACACTGGTCTAAGCAATAAGAAACAAGCAGTTGGATGCAGTTGGGTTCATTTTGGGATGGGTCCATGTGAGACTAATGGTTAGCGAAGAAATTCCATCCATACTTGTACCATGTACCAAGCTTCCGGTTCACATTTCCATATGACTCCTACCATCACTTCGTTGAAAGTTGTCAATGTCAGTGCTTCCATTCGCAATGTTCAGTTAGTTCAGTTTTTGTCCCGGCTGTCCTAGACTCCCGCCTCGGATTACATGTAGGTGATCCAGATTCCTGCAAAGCAGTATCTTGGCTAAAGTTCTATTGATGGAGAGGACGAAGCTTTATGGTCACGATGTATGTGGGCCGGGTGTATAGTGGCAGCTTGTGGGGGCACCGCTGTTTGAGCTTTCCCAGTGTCAAACATGTTTGCCCCATGGGCCAGAAAGACATCGACATCTTGGAAGCATATGGGTTTGTCATGGTTTGTCTGAACATGAAGGTGCCCAAAATCCAATAGTTTTCCATGGTTTATCATCCTTTCCCAGTATAATTCGTAAACAACACATTCTTGGGGTACCCACCATTTTCGGTCAAAGACAGGGAAACACTGCATTTACAGCTGAGGAAGGGAGGCTTGATCGGGAAGAAGGGCGAAGCGATCGCTCGAATACGACAAGCCACAGGATCTGCCATCAAGATCGAACCTGGGCAGAGAGTTGGAACATGTTGGGGAACCTTTGCCAACCAGCTGTAGGTCATGAATGTCATGATATGTCATGATATGTCTGATATGTCATGATATGTCATGATATTTCATTTATGGCATTTGCGTCGTCCGTGGGAGATGGACCGATATTATATGATATTATCCGCAAACATTCCTTGTTCAGACCAGGGTTCGGCAGAAAATGGCGGAAACAATTGAAGATCGAAATCAAAAAGTGAGCCATTTTGGGGATCGCATGTTGCATTTCAGAGAGGGCGCAAATGAGCCCAAGGAACATCAAGATGGCGACTATTTGGCCACAGTCACCATCTCCGGCAACGTGGACATGGCAGAACAGCTCATCAATGAACGCCTCAGGGAGCAATTTCATCCCAGGTAGCTTGGGCTTTGGGCAGACATTTTTTCGTTGCTAATTTTGGACAGCCCATGACAATGGGGTTTCCCTTATCCACACATCATTGTTGGAAGAAAAACACTTTGGAAGGAGAACATGAACATTCCGAGTGGCTGGTGTTCCAGCTTTGAGGAACTTTGTGAGTCGCATATGGTTGGGCAGTGCCATTGGTTGTCATGAAAATGCTGGTTGGATAAGCATAAACATTTAGCAAAGCAGCAGTTGCAATAACATATTCTTCATTTTTTGATTTTGCTAAAGATGGTATATAGCTGGGACATATTTTCACTTTCCCACCTTTAAACTCGGTGTCAGGGATGAATGGGCTCAAAAAATTATTGACGTCGCAACTTAGCTGGAGGGAAAGATTGTAGCATGGGAAATTCTTGGATGCCATATTACCATGGGAGGGATTGCGAGCAACTTGGGTTGGGAGCAAAGTGGGGGGCTACCAGCACAACGTACTGTAAGTCAAGGGGTTTCCAAAGATGGGAAGATTTGGCTTCTTCAAAAACAAACATGGGGTACGCAGTAATACACCAAAATGGCATAACATGGCATAAAATGGCATAAAATGGCAATGTTTAAAGAGAAAACATGAGGACATGATGATCAAAGATGATTTTTGGGATATCTTATTTCATTATTTCAGATTTTCAGACACATCCTTTTCCTTGCCCAAGATGCTGTTGGAAGAGGTGCTGTGAACCCGAAGGGTCGCACGTGGAATGTCCAAAGGGTCGCCGGCACAGCTTGTACCTCACCAGGACATATGGCTCAAGGTTCATCAATCTAGGGGATCAATGGGGATCACAGAAGTGAACATCGGTCATTTTGAGGAACCCTTAGCATGAGACCATCTGAAATCATCCACCATGACCATCCAATTTATCGGCAGATCATTGTGAGTCTGAGACAGGCCAAAGCCTACAACATATGGGAATTGAACATCCACACCAGTTTGATGTGAGCAGGACATAGCAGGACCAAGCTTCGCCCTTCCAAGGACCCAAGCATCGTGGGTCATATCATTGGCCCCGGTGGGGCAAATCTGCGACATATCTTTGACACCACTGGGTGCAAGATCAAATTCCTCCAGGCCAGATGAAGGGAGATTTGATGGACTCGAGATGTGCGCCACAGATTTGATGAACTTTATTTTGGTTATTTTTGGAGAATAAAATTAGCTAATCAAAAAAGATACGTCCGAAAACCTAAACAACTTGACAGATTGGTTTGGATTGGTAGTTTCGCGCACAGCGGGCGGCAGAGTGGCATCGTCCGAATCTAGTTCGGGCACAGAATCTTGGATATGGATATGGTCCATAGTCCATTGCCATAATTCAAAATTGAGGCCCACACACAGTTGATCATGCTTCGCCATACAGAATTCTATCCTCTGGGAATCAAACATGGCTGGAAAACCCTCACACACATACCATCACATACCCATTTATCGATGATTTTCCCGTTTGCAATGATATATTCCAGATATGTATGCCAGATATTGACCTGTATCTACTATAACCATATATATATATATATTCACGATATATCTACCTACCATATGTTTAGCATCTATTTGCCATATCTATTATAAATTCGGATATTGATATATTCAAACATATATATATATTAATATATATAATTTACGTTCACGTTTGCCCTGATACAATTACCATCCAAGTATTTATATCATCCAAATATTGCACACCAAATATGCCATCCAGTAGACATGCATATACGTATGTACACGTATTACTATATTTGCTACAACTGCGGATTTTTCGAAGGTATCTATATACCACACTATTTTTTCTCTTACACTTATAATTACAATATATATATATATATAAATAAATAGATAAATAGATAAATAAATAATTAAATAAATAGATAAATAAATAAATAAATAAATATAGATATATACACACTATATATATATACACATATATATATACACATATATACATATATATATACATACACACACACACATATATATATATATACACATATACATACACATTTATACACCGTCCAGATAGAAGATTTAATACATGACTTGCCATCGTCAAGGCCATGGAGGTGGACCCTATGGCTCTTCCAGGGCGGCAGGTGGCCTGTGTGCGTGGCCCACCAGATCGGCTTCGAGAAGGTGCCTCGGTGGTGCCCGGTAGATGGAAGCTATGCAGAGACGCATAGGGGAGAAAGTTAGTGCGACTTCTTTATTGGACCCTAAGTGTGCACACAGAAGATATTCCTCTCCAAATCCACCTGGGCTTGTTCCGAAAACATCCATACCCCAACATCCCATGATTTCTCATCATTTCCGTTCCGAAAATGGCCATGAAGCAACTAAGTTGGGTATTGTACAACCCATTCCAACCCGTTTTACAATATGTTTCACCGGGCTTTGCAGCCGTGGCTCAAGCCGGACCCCGGGAAGAGCACCCAGGGCCACCTGTGGCCATGGCGGGCGAAGACCAAGGAGCGTCTCCTGAAGCCAAGGTGAAGACCAAGGAGCCGCCGGCAGAGACCATGGATGACCTGGCCATGGAGACCAAAAGGACGGAAAAAAAAGGTGAAGGGCTGGGTTCACAATGGTTCACATGGGGTGAAACCCACAAAAAATTGGGATTGAAAGAACTAAGAAAAAGATACGGGGACTTAGCCATCCAGAATTTGGTGAATATAGATTAATTAATGGAGGGTGGGTTCCTGCTTCAATTCATTGCCACAAATGGACCTGTAATGCCGATACGCGGCCAAGAAAACATCATTTTTTGGTGCAGGGTAGCCTTGGCAGGACAGCGCTGTTGGATCGCCTGGAAAGTCAGTTGAAGAAAGGTCCCTCCTTCACCACGCGTTTATTGTTTGCCTTCAACGTGTCGGATGATCGCAAAGTACAGCGGGCCATCGACCAAGAGTTCACGGACTGGAGGAAGACCACAGCTGGAGCTCAAGCCGTGACCTGGATTTACTGAAGATGTTTTTTGTTTTTTTCCGGATTGGTGGGTGCACCATTGGGGGGGCTCCACTTATATTACTGTACTGGTGACCGGGGACATGTCTTTCAATATTTAGCAGCTGCTTAAGGTGAACGGCATCCTGATCTACACCCAGTCTGTGGCCTTGCATTTGTTGGAGGGGCCCACTGAGATGCTCTTCAACGCCCTGGCACTGTTCCATTCCGTCAGCGCCGAAGTGAGAAAGGCGCCTGAGGTACAGCCAGGTACCACCCCACGGCCCAATGAGAAGGGTGAACTTCCAGCTCTGCTGTCAGGGCTTCGGGTGCTTCATTTCACCGAGCTCCATGGTGTGTCGGTGGTGAAATCTTGGTGTTCCCTGGTGCATCCAGGACGGCCCACAGGCAATCAGATGCCAGTAGAGGAGGCCAATTGTCATGAGCTGGTCTTCTCATGCTACAAGAAGGTCCTGTGTCTGTGTCTCAAGGTGCCTTGCCCTGCAAAACATGGGCAAGACATGGCAAGACGCAGCGCCTAGAACCTCAAATATCCTTAAACTTGGACTTGGATGATCTTGGATGACTAGTTGCCCCCATGTTATCCCATCTCCTTTCTGGTATCGAAGAGACCAAACCACAGCTGCAAGGTCCAGAAACTCTTGGATGGAGAGGCAGATCCAGACTCATCCCTTAATAAGACCTACAAGAAGGCGCGAGGGTTCACCACAGCTGGGGAAAGTCCAAATGACAAGTGAAGACAGCTGTTTCTGTTGAATGTTTTAGATTAGATCACGCACACTCACTCACAGTGCCACAAGGTTGTTGAAAAGTAGTCACACAAAAACTCATATAAACAGATATAAACAGATGATATTTACGTATATATCATATGATACTCTTGTGATGTGGTTCCACCACTAATGGGATGCTTTGGTGCTTCCTAATCAGTTTCAGCAGCATTCCGCAGACGTTCATTCTGACAGAAGAAGTTTTGCAAAGTTTCCATATGTTCCATTGCTGTGGCGTCACTGCCAAGCTGGCTAGTGGTTTCACATCTTTTTTTTTTAAAACATGTTCAGCCATGGGCCATGTTCAGCCTAAAAATGGGAGGATGATCCCACCTGACTTTGGCATATGACCCAACCAGCGCCCAAGCACTCAGCGCCCAGGCAGCAGATGAACTTCCAAGTGTCGACGAGGTGCTGGTGCTGGTGAGCAGATCCTCCGCGGAGTATTTCTTCACCTTTCCGGAGTTTGAGAAGGTCAGGGCAAGGGCATGGCAGCAAATGTGTCAAAAGAAACTGTGAGAGTGCGGATACTCCGGAGAAGATGCAACACATTCAATACATATCAACAAAATCAACAAAATTCAACACATATCTATAAATGAGAGGTTGATCATTCATCATAATTCTTTGTTGCTGTCACAACTTTTACATCCAGGATGCACTTGAGCTATTTGTTGCGACTTCCCAGGTATTCATGGCACCATTCCAGTTGGCTTTACATTCTGAGCTCCTATGGCCCATGCCGCCGGCCTTGTCCTACTGAGAGACAACCAGTGCCGTTGCATGTTAGTGTCACCACTGAACGCTGCCATCCGCAAAGCGTGGAAAGCAGAAATGAGGCGTTTTGGGCTCGATCGGACATGCCGTGGAAGCGCACTGCTTTGGCGAATTGGGCAACCTGTTATTTGCTTGAATCAGGGGAAAATTGACGGGACACCACTATGAATGCTTGGGAACCAATGGTTTCCCCGCAAATTTTCTCTCGATCCAATTCTGGTAAAGAACTTGAGCCACTCGAATCCTGTCCTAAGAAGAACCATCCCCCAGACTGAACTTGGGCACATTTTGGGATCCCATTCGGGATATTCGGGGAGGTTTATCAAATATAGTTGGGGGGATGGGATTGCACTTCCCACAGCTGAGAAAATTGCAGGAATTATATATATATGCATATATTTCATGGTGCAAGCAGGTAAAAACCGAGGTTTACTGTAGATGTTCACCGATTTTCCTTGAAGTTAGTTAAGCCGGGGAGCTGCTTGTCCAAGAGTTGGTTGAAGGAAATTGCACAGGAGGCCTCTATATTTGGTTTCCTGAAGATTTCCCTTTCATCCATCAGAATCCACCTATTGAATGATATTGAATGTTCGCTTATCTCCATAGCCCCATGATATTCCCGTTGAATCACCATCAAATACATGTTTTTCCATATTTTTTCTCTTGGGCAACTCCCAGTGGTCGTCCAAACGGCTCAAGCTCGCCACCGTCCACAGCCGAGAGAAGTCCCCGTGACCGGCTGGATGGTGTCCTTGGAGCTGGCGCGGGTGGCCGAAAGGGCCGAAAGAGACTGGCCGTGGGGATGGTGCTGGATCTATGGTTATATCATGTTATACTGTACATACAATATATATATATATGTATATGTATATGTATATGAATATGTATATGTATATGTATATGCATATAATTATATATATATGTATGTAATATAAGATTTAATGATTAATCATGATGGATGAATGGTGGATAATACGTGACAATAATTGCTAATAATGGCCAATAATGGCTAGCAATGGTTAATACAGTGTAAATGATTAACGATTCATGTTAAGCCCGGATTAATAAACCATGGATCACCAATTATTGGGGTAACCTACCATGGCTGGGGATTAAACCACCCAACCATGGGTTTACCAAAATATTTTGGGAATATATCCAGCAATATAGCCATATAATGGGATATACTGTCCAGTGAATGGAATGGTTCGGAGCCATGCGTGTATCCATAGTCGCCAAGGAGCTACGAACTGAGTTTCCGAAACACATGATAGTCTATTGGGGATATAATCTGATACAGCCACTCCTAAACTTAAGTTGATTTTTGGTTGATGTCAACTAACTATGATCTGCAATTTTTGGGATGGTTGTTGTATGGAATATAATGAGTGACTTTATTGGTATTGTCGCTGGTATCGGGATTGTTGTTTGGGCATTGTTATTGGGACACAATTGGCATCGATACAATAGCGCGCTTACTATCCATTTATATACGGCCGGATAAGTCCAACATCGGGGTAGACAGTGATTTTTTGTTCGATCAACTACACACACACACTTGAAAGATATAGATTTCTTATGATTTCTTATGATTTCTTTTGAACGTATGTGTGCGATGAAGTGTACTATGATAATATAGCTTTATATAGAAGGTATAACTTGCTGAAATATTTCATGTAGATATGATATGTTTATGTTCACCTTTGGGATCATCCCGACACCCGACTCGCCCCAGGATATGATGATATGGCGGATTACATGCAGGCGCGTGTCACGGAAGGCCACCCACTCGACACCGAGGAGCGAGATATGTTGCCTGACAGCCTGAGCTGCGAGACCCGGTGATAAGTGGATGATATGGCAATGGGTCAAGCTTGGACCCAAAAGGAGAGGGTAAACACTAAATTATAGAAAGATCTTATCTGACCGAATCATCCAAAATCTGTCTTTTCCTGGGTCTCTAAAAATTTGATACATGCGAAAACAACCACGGAATGTGAAGATTCCCGAATTTTAGGGAATGTGAGGTCTGTAGCATTTTAAGCAGGAAATCACTTGCCTTGACTTGGCCTGGTTCCCAGAAGCAGGATGAAGGGATGTTTTAGAGAGACGAACATGTACAGTGTATGCATACACTCCATGTATAAATAGGCAGAATTCGGTGTACATAGTATCGTTACGAGGTTCCAATTCTTGTCTTTCCAGTTGCAGTCCATTCCACAGCAGTTGAACACAAACGTTACTAGGATGCTTTTGAAACGGTGACAACTTCTGTGAGATCGATGACAACTTCTGTGAAACGATGGCAATGCTACACAACACAGCATTAATCTCCTAGCTGGACACACGCACACACACACATATATATATGTAGAATGTATACACCCCAGAAACCCAAACACTGAACCCAAATTAACAGCAAACGAATGAATAGTTCAGCAACGTGCAAGACCTCTGTTGGTTGGGATTGTAGGGGTTTCAATGTTCTATACATTTCCTGATTCAATTGAGATCATTTTGACTGTGATGAGCGACCTGGGGAATCACAGGTAACCAGCGACAGAAGGAAGATGAAACAGTAGACACCAAAAAGACCTTTGTATTTTGTAGTGTCTTTGTTCATTTTGGTGGTTCCACTACCGTGTTTAGTTGCAGGGGCATGGCATCTTTCTACACACTTACGCACTTGCTCAGAACTGTCTTATCGAATCGTGAAGTTGGAATGCATCTTACGTGCAAAAACACTTCGGTAAATAGGAGCCGAGGGAGGACAGGAATTTACGACTGTTCACCAACAACGACCAGCTCATTAACATCATTCAGCATCAATAACCAGATGATGTAAAACCATGTTTATTAATCTTACCATATTTTACCCTGTTGGTTTAACATGTTTTGACCACAAAAATCTATAGGGGCCCACCCTTCCAAAAACTGCGGCGGCTCCATGGCTCCGTGAGGCTCTCGGCCGCCTTTAAGAACGCCCTGACGGAGCGACGCATGGCGGTGCGCATTGCCGTGCAGGTGCATGCACAGGAGCTGGAGGAAGGACGGGTGGAACAGGCCAATTTGGCGGATGGCTATAAGACCCGGGTGGAGACTCTCGGATACAAAGATGGTATAAGATGGTAATATGATATAAACATATAAGCCATTATAAGCCACGGTAAAGCCAGCAAGAATAGGGAATTGTGGCATGATCATAGGGATGATTATTGGGATGATAAACCACACTAAAATTACCATGACTGGATGGTGAAAAACATCCGGGTTTACCACATTCATCCCATGCCCCGAGCATGTGGAAAGTCCTCACGGCTAAGTCCCCGAAAATGAAGGAATCAAATACAAGACCGAGGCTTCGTTTGGGGGTAATAATGGGGGGAAGGGATTCTTGATTGATTTTGCCCGCAGAAATTGGGTTTTAGCCAAGAACATCGCGGGACAGAGACCTGGAACGGGGGAAACTTATGGAAATCCACAATTTTAATGGGACGATAGGAAAATCAACTATAAATTGTAATGGGGTGGTTTTGGTATAAACTGTATAAACTGGAGGTCTTTACCCAAACACTCTGGATCGCCTCATGAACCATCGTAAATTGTGCCCGTTATTTCATTGGCAGCCCAGGAATGAATTGCAGTCAATTTGCAAGAAGGTCTTGCAACTCCTGGAAACCGTGTTGCTGCCAAATGCAGAGCCAGGGGAAGCAAAGACCTTTTATTTGAAGATGCAGGGAGACCCTTGGAGAGTTTCGATGTGTTTTGGGCAACAGTTGCTGGTGAAAGCGGAGGATTCTAATGCAAGATTTCGACAAATTACTGTACATTTTTTTTTGAAGCTGACCGCGCATCTTTCCGGGTATGGGAGATCCTCAAATTGTTGAGATAAATTATTTGAGCTCTCTTTGCACCATCTCGCCTATTTCCAAGCGCTTTTCTGTGGGCATGCTGCCCCAAACGATTTCCACATATTTCCACATGTTTTGATCTTTCCCCGCATTGAAAAAATATAGTAAGTAAATATATATAGTTCCCAGCACTATTGAAGCCGCTATTGGCCCTTCAGTGGGCGTTTGGGAAAATGCCATAGAATTTGAAGCAATTCCGCCCCGGAGCATACTTGCAGGAACAGCTACGGGTACCATACATGACCCATTTCCATCCGATTGAATTTTCTTCGGCCAGCCATCCAGAGGTTGAGTTGAGGGGTCAGTTTTTCCGATGCTTCTCTTTCCCCTGGATTTACCATTCTTTTGCCTCTCTTTGCCACATTTCCCCATTCTATAGTTCTTTGCATATAACTTATATACTAACTTTTTCACCTCTAGATTTCGAGATCTTCACCCAATTCATGTCAAAAAGTGTGACCTTGCCCCATCTCCCAGATATTTCTCCCCAGTGTTGCAACATCATTATCATCAATTCTGTGTTTTTTTTTTCCATCGGTTCTTGCACATGAATCTTACTGGGATAGTAAGGGGAGCAAACGAGGATGTCCATCTATGCTCATCTATTTCCGTATGTGTACTGTATATATATATATACATACTGTATACATATACACCAACAATATGTATACTCTATATCATCCACTTGGATTCCATTTTTCGATCATTTTTCCCATGAATTTCTAGAACACTTTCATGTGTCCCAGAATTGGTTGAACAGAACACCTGCCCTGCAAGCCTCTTTGGGTGGGATGAGGGCCACTTCTGTTAGAGGTCTTTTTGAACAGGATAAGACCTTGAAGAAACCCATGAAAAAATCAGAAGAACCTAACATAATCCAGAAAAATCCTGATCCATTTCAAGTTTGGGTTTAGGCAGAGTTCTGTGTAGGCATTGGCTTTTAATGGAAATTGCTGTTGAATGCTTGCTGAGGGCTTTCCCATTTTTTTGTTAAACTTTTTCTAAAAGTTTTTGTGGGATCTATTTAGGATCGGTTGGGATTCCACTGGGGGTGGTCCATTTCTTTTAGATAGTCTTATGTAGTTTTTGTTTGAAGATTTTGTTAGGTTCATGTGGGATAATGTTAGGTGTGTGTTGAATTTTGCTAGGCTGTACTTGTCTGAGAGGAAAAAGATGGCAGGATTCACATTGCTTCTGCAGGGTTTTCGATGGGATTCTCCAGCGAGGGAAATCATTGGGAAACCTACTGCCCCAAGAACATCCAAAACAACCAGTATGCCCGGCCTATTTGCAGGGCGAAACCAGGGTTTCCTGTAGATTTTCCCATATTTTCCCTAAAGCCCAACCATTTTTCTATGATTCTATGGTTTATAATCCCAACAATCATTCCATAATTTCAATGGCCAGATGCCGTCCATTTGATATCATTTCAATTCTTTTTTGAAATTTCTTGGGTCTACCAACGTTTCCCGTGTCATTTGGCCCGATTTTTCCTGTTTCGTCCAGGACTACTGCCGTTACATGGCCGAGTTCACCTTCGCGGAGACCTTCCAGCGCTACAGTGCCGAGGCGCAAAGCGCCTACGCCAGCGGCATGGCGGAGGCAGAGCTGCTGCATCAGGTGCACCCGGTGCGATTGGGCCTGGCTTTGACACTGGCTATACATTGGTAGTGTTTCTTTATGTTTCTTTGGGGGGTTGACAGATGTTGACAGGAGATTTTTGAGGAACATTGTAACATGAACTAGTGTGTAATTCGTTTCCGGATTTTTTGATGCTTTGTTGGAATGGTGTTTCTAGTTGTGGCGGCTCACAGGAAAATTGTGAGGAAATGAGAATCTAATGTGTGTTTTTTTCTGAGTCGGCGGTTGATTCTTGCACACATTTGGGATGAAAATCGGAAGTTGCACAGGAAAAAGGGACAAATAGGGACAACATTTTTGGAATGTGACTGTCCGTTTTTTTTTTTGCGTGTTTTAAAAAGGCAGCTGGAAGCACATGTGTTTTTAATGGGGGGATTTAAGCAGCATGGCACGTGATTTTTCTTTTTGAATTTGCTCTTGCGGCAGGGGGCGAGGTTGAGAAACATTGGAATTTCACACGACTGGGATTTGACCCCCCAAACAAGGGATTTTTTGGGGCGAAGGGATTTTCGGGGGCGAGAAAATGGGAACTCAAGTAAAACCAAGGGATTTTCATGGATTTTCATGATAGAAAATTAAGTTTTAATAACGCAATAAAGGATTGAATATGATTTGGTCAAACATGGGGATTCAACCTGAAAGCTTAAGATAGATGCTGCAAACATGGTTCCCAGGGAACTTTAAGCAGCAACACCCAGAATCATCCCAGATAACGACTTGTGATCATAATGCATATAACCGAGAACCCATTGATTAAAGATCATGCGCATAGGCCTAATTGGGAAGACCTTCTAGCCATGCTGGGGCCCCGGATTGATCGGGTCACACCTGGCAGCATTGCCCAGAAGTGTTTCCATAGCTTCATTGGTCTTTATACAGGAAATTAAGATTACTCCTCCAAATTCATACATGACACCCACACACACACTCACACTCACACACTCACACTCACATTCACACGTGTTTCTATGTACTGTATATATATAATATACATAATATATATATATATATATATATCTATACGCATATTTTTTTCTACATATAGATCATCATGGATCATTTTCGGAAGGGAAAAACGACCATGGATTTCCATTGTTAGTTTAGCAAAGGGTATCCAGGAGCTCCTGGGTTCCCAGCTGTTGTCCCACTGAGGAACTTCTCAGTCTTCCAGCACGAGGTGTTGCGGAACACATCACAGGCCATTGCGATTGCCACATCCACACTGGACGCTTGGACATTGCATGCGGAGGCAAACGAACATTAAAATACCCATGGTTGTAGTTTAGATGTCGGGAGTAATTAGTTGGTAATTGTCAATAGTATTATACATCTACACTTGGAAACAACATTTCCAGCTTCAAGTGATGAAGCAAAAACCGGTGGATGGGATTGAAGTATTTGCCAGAATGGTAGAGCGATGATGGACAAGAACAAATCATCATATAAATTGGCAAGTAACAACACAGCTCCCATTGCAACATTTCTTCGATTGAGGAAAGCGCCAGTCGGCATTTGGATGAAGTGCCAGAAGAGACCAGGAGTAACTTGGCCTTTTGGAGGGTCTTGCTGGTTAAATAGGTTCGGTATGGGTCAAAACCGGTCTCAAATTTTGATCGCCAAAAACTACTTTGAATAGGGACCTGCAATGAAAACTGTAACCATTGCGATGTCAGGAGGGCAGGATCCAAGGCTGTGGTGCAGTCCATGTAACACACTGAGGTGATGCCTATCTGACTCTGCAGTTACTTCAAGACAACACGCAGCTATGGACTTCAGGGCTCGACGCCTGAGCCACCGGAGCGCGGCGGGAGTTGTTTCAAGGACCAAAACTTGTTGGGTTAAATGTGCCGAACCAATTCGATCTGAGTCTCACGGCAGGATGCAGGGAAAGTGGCAGAAACGCGCGTTTGGAGTTGCTGGTGTGGCTTGTGTTCAGCGAGGTCCCTCAACATTGATAAGTTATGGGATATATATATAATATAATTTGATATTGAAATATATTGAATACATGTATGCTCCGACACTTCCGCGATGGGTTCACCCCTGAGTATTCCATATTAAAGGTTTCGCACACCCATTGCGCTGACGTTTTGCTTTATAGCTATACTACTTGCTGGAGAACCACTGCAGAATATCATCAGTGAAATGATGCCAACCTGTCTGTTGGGGACCACAATTTGCTCACATAGTAGAATTTTCCAGCTCTGGTACTCCAACTGGCAATGGGAAATCCTTGAAAGCAGCCCAAGCTCTTCGCCCAGGTGAAGAGGTGTGGAATGGGCGCTGATTGGACAAGCTGGGAAAGTGTCATTCAGAATGATTGAGTTGCCACTACCCTGAACGCCACCTTGGAACCTGTGTTTTACCGCTGAAATCACAATGTGCGAATATTTTGGGTTCTGTGTTGGATTTCAAGGGCTTACCATGGTGTACCGTTTGATGGTATATTTTCAGTTGGAGAACCACTTGCTTTGACAGTGTCTGGTGTATTTTGATATCCTCACGTTTCAGCGGCTAGTTGACTACAGTGGACACATCGAAATATCAACATGGTTTCATTGGTTTGTCACATGCCAATTACGGAGCAATTATTGTCGGTCAACTTTCCTAATATACAATACAATAATATACAATAATATACAATAACATACAATAATATACAATAATATACAATAATATACAATATAGAATGCAATATAAATACTGTGTATACATATACATATGTATATATATATAATTTTGTTGTTGCACAGTAGTAGTCTACATATAGCTGTTTCACCTCTAACATGTGTTGCATTGGCTCAAGAAATAGCGCTAGTGCGGTGTACTGGATTTGTGGTTAGTTGTGACTGTTAGCCTATTTCTACAGGTTATCAGCCGTATCGCCAAAGGTGATTTGGTTGATTTCCTTTTTGTCTCACACTTTTCGTTCATACCTCCTTGTTTCGCCATGTCAACACCCCCAGCGCTCCCTGCCCCGGGCGGGAGCGCCACGGCTGCTTTAGCACTGGCGACGACTTCACAACCGGAGGAAGTGGTAATCCATTCAGGCGCGGCAACAACTGAAGGTGACATGAGTTACCTGGACGAAGAGTTTGACCCATGCCGTCAAGATCCACGCAGGAACATGCCAGGTGTTTTGGATGCAAGCATCGACATCAGTCAACTCAACACAATCAATTTCAACAGTGTCGATCAGCGTACCGCCCATGTGGCAGTGGTACAACAAGGGCTTGATCCAAACCTGGCGAACCAGCTCATGGCTGCTCAACAGCAGGCATTGCAGAGTGAGGCGAATGTACGTCACTCTGAGGTCATGGAACGTCAACGAATGGAGCTTGTGAGTGAGGCTCGAGATCAACTTGCAAGCGTTGAACAACAAGCAGCCGAAGAAATTTCCAGGAGAAACCTTTTGTTGAACGAGCAGGCCGCCCAGGCGATGAGTGAGCAGAAATCTGCTCAACTGCAGGTCACAGCGCAGGATCATCGCATCAGGGAACTGAGTGCCAAGCTGACTCATGTGGTCAACAATGCAGGTGTCTTGACATCGTCTGCGGAGAAGTCCAATGCTGATCTGCAGGCAGCACGTTCAGAACTTGCCGAGTACCGCACTCAGATTGATGCAATGAATCAACACGCTTTGAACATGCATAAGCTGGCCGAATCTCATAGGAAGGACTTCGAGGCGGAGATTGAGAAGCTTCGGAAGGAGCAGAGAGAGCTCATCCGGAATTTAAAGTCTCAACCTCTGGAGGGAACTCCTGGACTTATGATTCATTATGGTTCCGGGAAACCCATTCCACAATCCTCGAAGCCCAAGGGTCCAACCATTGAGGAGTTAGCTTCGGGAAGCAAGAAGCCTCAGCATTCATCAGATGCTGACGATGAGCATTTTCTGGCAGAACCTTCGAAGCCACCGGGATTACCCGGCGGTGGACCTCCAGGAGATGACGATGGTGATGATGACTATGACGACAAGAGAGGTCGCAAGGACAAGAAAGAAAAGAAGAAGGACCGCAAGACTAGTCGTGGCCGTTCGCGACGACGACGTCGAAGAGATCCTTCACCCTCACCCTCATCATCAACGTCCCCTACGACGTCAAGTTCGGATTCTGAGAGTTCCTTTGCACGAAAGGTCAAAAGGGCCTTAGAGCGTTCTAGGACTACTGATACTAAGGCCAAAGAGTCTGATAGGATCCTAGTTCCTAAGTTCCCTCAACCCGAAAATTATAGGAATTGGAGAATCCGAGTAAGGGATGCCATAATTGCTGCTTCTGCTAAACCCGACCTAGCTTTTCAATGGGTAGAAGAAGTGTTCAGGACAGATCAGTCTGTCGATGCCTTGAAGGACTCAGGTAAATTCGTGACCCTGGACGCAAAGCTCATGTCTTCGCTCACCAACATCTGCGAAGGGGACTTTGCACGGCAACTTGACATTTTTAAAGAAGAACAAGCCAAGTCAGGGACACCAGCTAGGGGACGTCAAGCATTGCTCATGATTCATAAACACTTCAGTACAAGTAGGAAGCATGGTGCAGTGTACGACATTGAGGACCTCATGGCTGTTACCTTAGTCAATGATGATCTCAGAGGTTTCATCACTCGATGGGACGCTGTGATCGCTGGAATGACTTCCGAGCCTGACATGATGTGGAAGCAAGCCTACTTTCACAACGCCATCAAGAACTTCAAGCCTCTCTCTCATGATCTGGCTGTGTATGATCGCACACCGGAGGGGGAACCCAACTGCTCTTATGATTTTCTCATGAAAGCTGCGAGGGACTACCTTGAGAGGAGACGTCTGGAGAAGATGCGACAGGCTACCAAGAAGTCCGTTTCAGGCAAAAGAGATGCTACGCCAGCACCCACGCGACCGCCATCTGCGGGAAAGCCCACTGGCATTTGCTACGACTTCCAGGCTGGCAAGTGTACCAGGGGAAAGGATTGCCGATACAGACATGAAAAGGCAGACAAAGGAAAAGGCGGAGGGAAGAAAGGCAAATCTAGGTCCAAGTCTAGGGGCGATGGTCGATCTTTGTCTCCTGGATCTAGGAACCAAGTGTGTAAGTTTTGGAAGGCAGGTAAGTGTCAACGAGGTAATGACTGTGCTTTCCAACACCCACCAAAGCCTGCAGCTGCATCTACCAAAGATGACAAGCGTGGAAAGAGCCAGAAAAAGAAGAAGAGAAATAAGAAGAAGAAGGGCGATCGCTCCAGATCGTCAAGTCGAGGTTCCAACTCCTCGAGAGGCTCACAGAGTCTCAAGGACAAAGGGGGAAAACCATCTTCCTCTGGCTCAGCAGCAGTTTGCCTGATGCGCGCTCTGATGATGGTCGCAGTCGTCAACCCTTCGACCAGCACTCATCGCGTGCCGGAAGGCATCGCCTCTCCGCATTGTTTCAACCAGCATTTTGCCATGCCAGTTACACCCAATCGCACTGTTTCATTTGGAGGCAACGATGAAATCTTCGAAGTTCCCATTGAGCAAAACTGTAATTTATATCCGTGCCAAGCCAAGCAACGAACTGTCAATCCAGTTCGCATCACCAAGGACGATCGTACTCGCAAAGATACGATCGAAACACGAGAAAGTGATGCAATACTTGCAGCACAAATGTTGCAATCAGCTGTCTTTCGGGAGTTGCATGGTAAGCTTTGCAAATGCAGCTTTGAGTGTGACAGTGATATCGGCTGTCGCCACTGCATCCGTTCCGACCTGAATGCCCTGCCAGGACATATGCCGTCCCAGCAGCGTAACGCATCCGCTGAGATAGCATGGATTGCTGACACTGGTAGTGCACAGGACTTAGTTTGCAGCAAGATGATTCCCGATGACATCGTGTATCACTCTCATGAACCCCTTGAATTAATCACTGCAAATGGTTCCCAATCAGCTGACCAACAAGCTTCTGTTCACATTGATTGCATCGACAAAGAAGTTCATCCTTGTGTTCTTCCTGATACCCCGGCTGTAATATCGGTAGGGATGAGATGTATTCAAGATGGATGGGATTTTGTTTGGAAAAGCTTTAGTCGCCCATATTTCAAGAAGAAAGATGGAACTAAGATCAAACTTGAAGTCAAAGATTTTGTTCCTTATCTACCATCCAGAGATGGCCAGGTACCCGCTGCAGTAGGGATTCCGTTTTCATGGAACTCCGCTGCCGGGAACGGCAAGCCCATCATCTCACCTGTTCGAAGGTCTCGCATGTCAGCCGTCGGTGCCGAGTCCGATGATGAAGTCGAGGAGGTCGAAGTACCTTACGAGGCTTCCATCGCTGATGACGATGAAATTCCCGGACAAGCTATCGACGACCTCGAAGAATTCTTTCCTGGTGAACTTGCACCCGGACCGCCAGCAGCCATGACACCAGACGTTGTCGAAGGTTCGGAAGATGAAGCCGAAGCTCCTGAAGAACCAGTTGACGGTCGACTTCAGTTGCCTGAACCAAAGGCGATTGATCGTGGTGAAGCTGCACTTCGAGAAGAGGCCAGGACCCTTAGGCACATGATGGCACATACCCCAAAGAATCCCTTTTGTGAGACATGCAAATGTGCTAAGATGTACAAACCTACTAAACGTAGCAAAGGGGAATCTCTGACTGTGGAATCCAACAAGTTTGGGGATCACATCACTGGGGATCATCTTGTGACTAGGGATGCCAACGAACAGTCAATTGATGGTGACAGGGTTGCTATGATCATGAAAGATGTCGCTACGAATTTTCGTTGGATCTATCCTTCAGCTAGGAGTCATGCCAAGGATTGTGTTTTAGCTTTTAGGCATTTCATTGCACCTGGTGAAGAAGTCGGAGTGTTTTATTCCGATGCAGCGCCATCCATCAAGCTCGCTTGTCGGGAAGTTGGGTGGAGGCAGAACACTAGTGTTGCTTATGTCTC